AGCTGCTGCCACACTATACACAAACTGTATGTCCCCGCTAGGCTGCTGCCACATTATACACAAACTGTATGTCCCGGCTAGGCTGCTGCCACATTATACACAAACTGTATGTCCCCGCTAGCTGCTGCCACACTATACACAAACTGTATGTCCCTGCTAGGCTGCTGCCACATTATACACAAACTGTATGTCCCCGCTAGGCTGCTGCCACACTATATACAAACTGTATGTCCCCGCTAGCTGCTGCCACATTATACACAAACTGTATGTCCCCGCTAGCTGCTGCCACACTATACACAAACTGTATGTCCCCGCTAGCTGCTGCCACACTATACACAAACTGTATGTCCCCGCTAGCTGCTGCCACATTATACACAAACTGTATGTCCCCGCTAGCTGCTGCCACATTATACACAAACTGTATGTCCCCGCTAGGCTGCTGCCACACTATACACAAACTGTATGTCCCCGCTAGGCTGCTGCCACACTATACACAAACTGTATGTCCCCGCTAGCTGCTGCCACACTATACACAAACTGTATGTCCCCGCTAGGCTGCTGCCACACTATACACAAACTGTATGTCCCCGCTAGCTGCTGCCACATTATACACAAACTGTATGTCCCCGCTAGCTGCTGCCACATTATACACAAACTGTATGTCCCCGCTAGCTGCTGCCACACTATACACAAACTGTATGTCCCCGCTAGGCTGCTGCCACACTATACACAAACTGTATGTCTCCGCTAGGCTGCTGCCACATTATACACAAACTGTATGTCCCCGCTAGCTGCTGCCACATTATACACAAACTGTATGTCCCCGCTAGCTGCTGCCACACTATACACAAACTGTATGTCCCCACTAGCTGCTGCCACACTATACACAAACTTTATGTCCCCGCTAGCTGCTGCCACATTATACACAAACTGTATGTCCCCGCTAGCTGCTGCCACATTATACACAAACTGTATGTCCCCGCTAGCTGCTGCCACATTATACACAAACTGTATGTCCCCGCTAGCTGCTGCCACACTATACACAAACTGTATGTCCCCGCTAGGCTGCTACCACACTATACACAAACTGTATGTCCCCGCTAGCTGCTGCCACATTATACACAAACTGTATGTCCCCGCTAGGCTGCTGCCACATTATACACAAACTGTATGTCCCCGCTAGCTGCTGCCACACTATACACAAACTGTATGTCCCCGCTAGGCTGCTGCCACACTATACACAAACTGTATGTCCCCGCTAGGCTGCTGCCACACTATACACAAACTGTATGTCCCCGCTAGCTGCTGCCACACTATACACAAACTGTATGTCCCCGCTAGCTGCTGCCACATTATACACAAACTGTATGTCCCCGCTGGCTGCTGCCACACTATACACAAACTGTATGTCCCCGCTAGCTGCTGCCACATTATACACAAACTGTATGTCCCCGCTAGCTGCTGCCACACTATACACAAACTGTATGTCCCCGCTAGCTGCTGCCACACTATACACAAACTGTATGTCCCCGCTAGGCTGCTGCCACATTATACACAAACTGTATGTCCCCGCTAGGCTGCTGCCACAATATACACAAACTGTATGTCCCCGCTAGCTGCTGCCACACTATACACAAACTGTATGTCCCCACTAGGCTGCTGCCACATTATACACAAACTGTATGTCCCCGCTAGCTGCTGCCACACTATACACAAACTGTATGTCCCCGCTAGCTGCTGCCACATTATACACAAACTGTATGTCCCCGCTAGGCTGCTGCCACACTATACACAAACTGTATGTCCCCGCTAGGCTGCTGCCACACTATACACAAACTGTATGTCCCCGCTAGCTGCTGCCACACTATACACAAACTGTATGTCCCCGCTAGGCTGCTGCCACACTATACACAAACTGTATGTCTCCGCTAGGCTGCTGCCACATTATACACAAACTGTATGTCCCCGCTAGCTGCTGCCACATTATACACAAACTGTATGTCCCCGCTAGCTGCTGCCACACTATACACAAACTGTATGTCCCCACTAGCTGCTGCCACACTATACACAAACTTTATGTCCCCGCTAGCTGCTGCCACATTATACACAAACTGTATGTCCCCGCTAGCTGCTGCCACATTATACACAAACTGTATGTCCCCGCTAGCTGCTGCCACATTATACACAAACTGTATGTCCCCGCTAGCTGCTGCCACACTATACACAAACTGTATGTCCCCGCTAGGCTGCTACCACACTATACACAAACTGTATGTCCCCGCTAGCTGCTGCCACATTATACACAAACTGTATGTCCCCGCTAGGCTGCTGCCACATTATACACAAACTGTATGTCCCCGCTAGCTGCTGCCACACTATACACAAACTGTATGTCCCCGCTAGGCTGCTGCCACACTATACACAAACTGTATGTCCCCGCTAGGCTGCTGCCACACTATACACAAACTGTATGTCCCCGCTAGCTGCTGCCACACTATACACAAACTGTATGTCCCCGCTAGCTGCTGCCACATTATACACAAACTGTATGTCCCCGCTGGCTGCTGCCACACTATACACAAACTGTATGTCCCCGCTAGCTGCTGCCACATTATACACAAACTGTATGTCCCCGCTAGCTGCTGCCACACTATACACAAACTGTATGTCCCCGCTAGCTGCTGCCACACTATACACAAACTGTATGTCCCCGCTAGGCTGCTGCCACATTATACACAAACTGTATGTCCCCGCTAGGCTGCTGCCACAATATACACAAACTGTATGTCCCCGCTAGCTGCTGCCACACTATACACAAACTGTATGTCCCCACTAGGCTGCTGCCACATTATACACAAACTGTATGTCCCCGCTAGGCTGCTGCCACACTATATACAAACTGTATGTCCCCGCTAGCTGCTGCCACATTATACACAAACTGTATGTCCCCGCTAGCTGCTGCCACACTATACACAAACTGTATGTCCCCGCTAGCTGCTGCCACACTATACACAAACTGTATGTCCCCGCTAGCTGCTGCCACATTATACACAAACTGTATGTCCCCGCTAGGCTGCTGCCACATTATACACAAACTGTATGTCCCCGCTAGGCTGCTGCCACATTATACACAAACTGTATGTCCCCGCTAGGCTGCTGCCACACTATACACAAACTGTATGTCCCCGCTAGCTGCTGCCACATTATACACAAACTGTATGTCCCCGCTAGCTGCTGCCACACTATACACAAACTGTATGTCCCCGCTAGCTGCTGCCACACTATACACAAACTGTATGTCCCCGCTAGCTGCTGCCACATTATACACAAACTGTATGTCCCCGCTAGGCTGCTGCCACATTATACACAAACTGTATGTCCCCGCTAGGCTGCTGCCACATTATACACAAACTGTATGTCCCCGCTAGCTGCTGCCACATTATACACAAACTGTATGTCCCCGCTAGGCTGCTGCCACACTATACACAAACTGTATGTCCCCGCTAGGCTGCTGCCACACTATACACAAACTGTATGTCCCCGCTAGCTGCTGCCACATTATACACAAACTGTATGTCCCCGCTAGCTGCTGCCACATTATACACAAACTGTATGTCCCCGCTAGCTGCTGCCACACTATACACAAACTGTATGTCCCCGCTAGCTGCTGCCACACTATACACAAACTGTATGTCCCCACTAGCTGCTGCCACATTATACACAAACTGTATGTCCCCACTAACTGCTGCCACATTATACACAAACTGTATGTCCCCGCTAGCTGCTGCCACATTATACACAAACTGTATGTCCCCGCTAGCTGCTGCCACATTATACACAAACTGTATGTCCCCGCTAGCTGCTGCCACATTATACACAAACTGTATGTCCCCGCTAGCTGCTGCCACACTATACACAAACTGTATGTCCCCGCTAGCTGCTGCCACATTATACACAAACTGTATGTCCCCGCTAGCTGCTGCCACACTATACACAAACTGTATGTCCCTGCTAGCTGCTGCCACATTATACACAAACTGTATGTCCCCGCTAGCTGCTGCCACACTATACACAAACTGTATGTCCCCGCTAGCTGCTGCCACACTATACACAAACTGTATGTCCCCGCTAGGCTGCTGCCACATTATACACAAACTGTATGTCCCGGCTAGGCTGCTGCCACATTATACACAAACTGTATGTCCCCGCTAGCTGCTGCCACACTATACACAAACTGTATGTCCCTGCTAGGCTGCTGCCACATTATACACAAACTGTATGTCCCCGCTAGGCTGCTGCCACACTATATACAAACTGTATGTCCCCGCTAGCTGCTGCCACATTATACACAAACTGTATGTCCCCGCTAGCTGCTGCCACACTATACACAAACTGTATGTCCCCGCTAGCTGCTGCCACACTATACACAAACTGTATGTCCCCGCTAGCTGCTGCCACATTATACACAAACTGTATGTCCCCGCTAGGCTGCTGCCACATTATACACAAACTGTATGTCCCCGCTAGGCTGCTGCCACATTATACACAAACTGTATGTCCCCGCTAGGCTGCTGCCACATTATACACAAACTGTATGTCCCCGCTAGGCTGCTGCCACATTATACACAAACTGTATAAAAGACTATGGTAGGACCGGACCAATTGAAACTGCAGTTCCGGCGGTCCTTGTCTATAACGCTTGCTCTGTTACATCATACCATCTGATCATGTGTACATGTACATTCTTTCATCCCCCCCCTCCCCCCCCCCCCCCGCTATCATACGATAGTATGCATGGTGCACATACCGCTATCATACGCTATCATACGTGGTGCCCATACCATACCATCGAGTGATGGATCATGGTATGCACAGTGTGGTGAAGCTGTCCATGTATAGACGGTTAAGTACTCTTACTCACACACACTGACACATATCTGGGCAGAGCAGTACAACTTGACAGCATTAAAGAGTAAGGAGAGGTGCCGATCCATCCTTACCTTCGAATGTGACCTTGAAATGGCTTTGATGGCTTCCAGGTCTTTGCAGTGCAGTCCAGCAGAACAGCATCACTGGAAGAGCACACACTTAGAATACCCTGCAGCCGGGATACCATGTAGAGCAGCACATCATGATTAGGTACACCATGGTAATAAGAAACACCGTGACACAAGATAATTATCATGTACACCGGCACTGATGGAAAATCAAGACTGGCATGAAACCAGGTAAATACTGTATTTTAAAACAAGCTCTCCATGGCAACTTCACAAGCTCTCCATGGCAACTTCACCAGCGGCCATAGCCAACCTAAACTAACCTTGTGAAGTGACAAGCCGAGAACAGGACGCTCAAAGTTCAGCGCTCGCAGGCAATCGCCGGAGGAAACCTGCCATTCACGCACACTCTGCAAAAACACAGCAAGCAAAGAGAGGTCACGGTGACCATTGGGTGAGGTGAATGTGTCATGCAGTGAACTGTGACCAATGGGTGAGGTTAATGGGTGTTATGCAATCATGCTTGGACAACACCGGAAATCTCTTTTCACAAGAAGATCAATGGAATGCTCAGAATCCTCATAACACCTGTCAATGCATTCTGGATTATACCAGCATTGCATACATGTGAGATGACAGTGTGCTTAGCATGAATATCGCATTGGAACTACAAGCAAACGGTTCTGCATCCATTGGAACTACAAGCAAACGGTACTGCATCCATTGGAACTACAAACAAACGGTACTGCATCCATTGGAACCACAAGCAAACGGTACTGCATCCATTGGAACTACAAGCAAACGGTACTGCATCCATTGGAACTACAAGCAAACGGTACTGCATCCATTGGAACCACAAGCAAACGGTACTGCATCCATTGGAAGCACAAGCAAACGGTACTGCATCCATTGGAACTACAAGCAAACGGTACTGCATCCATTGGAACTACAAGCAAACGGTACTGCATCCATTGGAACTACAAGCAAACGGTACTGCATCCATTGGAAGCACAAGCAAACGGTACTGCATCCATTGGAACTACAAGCAAACGGTACTGCACCCATTGGAACTACAAGCAAACGGTACTGCATCCATTGGAACTACAAGCAAACGGTACTGCATCCATTGGAACTACAAGCAAACAGTACTGCATCCATTGGAACTACAAGCAAACGGTACTGCATCCATTGGAACTACAAGCAAACGGTACTGCATCCATTGGAACTACAAGCGAACGGTACTGCATCCATTGGAACTACAAGCAAACAGTACTGCATCCATTGGAACTACAAGCAAACGGTACTGCATCCATTGGAACTACAAGCAAACAGTACTGCATCCATTGGAACTACAAGCAAACGGTACTGCATCCATTGGAACTACAAGCAAACAGTACTGCATCCATTGGAACTACAAGCAAACGGTACTGCATCCATTGGAAGCACAAGCAAACGGTACTGCATCCATTGGAACTACAAGCAAACAGTACTGCATCCATTGGAACTACAAGCAAACGGTACTGCATCCATTGGAACTACAAGCAAACAGTACTGCATCCATTGGAACTACAAGCAAACGGTACTGCATCCATTGGAACTACAAGCAAACAGTACTGCATCCATTGGAACTACAAGCAAACAGTACTGCATCCATTGGAACTACAAGCAAACGGTACTGCATCCATTGGAACTACAAGCAAACGGTACTGCATCCATTGGAACTACAAGCAAACCGTACTGCATCCATTGGAACTACAAGCAAACGGTACTGCATCCATTGGAAGCACAAGCAAACGGTACTGCATCCATTGGAACTACAAGCAAACCGTACTGCATCCATTGGAACTACAAGCAAACGGTACTACATCCATTGGAAGCACAAGCAAACAGTACTGCATCCATTGGAAGCACAAGCAAACGGTACTGCATCCATTGGAAGCACAAGCAAACGGTACTGCATCCATTGGAACTACAAGCAAACGGTACTGCACCCATTGGAAGCACAAGCAAACGGTACTGCATCCATTGGAACTACAAGCAAACGGTACTGCATCCATTGGAACTACAAGCAAACGGTACTGCACCCATTGGAAGCACAAGCAAACGGTACTGCATCCATTGGAACTACAAGCAAACCGTACTGCATCCATTGGAAGCACAAGCAAACGGTACTGCATCCATTGGAAGCACAAGCAAACGGTACTGCATCCATTGGAACTACAAGCAAACAGTACTGCATCCATTGGAACTACAAGCAAACGGTACTGCATCCATTGGAACTACAAGCAAACGGTACTGCATCCATTGGAACTACAAGCAAACCGTACTGCATCCATTGGAACTACAAGCAAACGGTACTGCATCCATTGGAAGCACAAGCAAACGGTACTGCATCCATTGGAACTACAAGCAAACCGTACTGCATCCATTGGAACTACAAGCAAACGGTACTACATCCATTGGAAGCACAAGCAAACGGTACTGCATCCATTGGAAGCACAAGCAAACGGTACTGCATCCATTGGAAGCACAAGCAAACGGTACTGCATCCATTGGAACTACAAGCAAACGGTACTGCACCCATTGGAAGCACAAGCAAACGGTACTGCATCCATTGGAACTACAAGCAAACGGTACTGCATCCATTGGAACTACAAGCAAACGGTACTGCACCCATTGGAAGCACAAGCAAACGGTACTGCATCCATTGGAACTACAAGCAAACCGTACTGCATCCATTGGAAGCACAAGCAAACGGTACTGCATCCATTGGAAGCACAAGCAAACGGTACTGCATCCATTGGAACTACAAGCAAACAGTACTGCATCCATTGGAACTACAAGCAAACGGTACTGCATCCATTGGAACTACAAGCAAACGGTACTGCATCCATTGGAACTACAAGCAAACCGTACTGCATCCATTGGAAGCACAAGCAAACGGTACTGCATCCATTGGAAGCACAAGCAAACCGTACTGCATCCATTGGAACTACAAGCAAACAGTACTGCATCCATTGGAACTACAAGCAAACCGTACTGCATCCATTGTGTTGTTCATTGTACTAGGGTAAACAGGTCTGCATGCTCGGATGGAAGTCAACGACCACCGTGCTAGTGGTTTCGGCGAGTAGACTGATTTACTGCATGCCCTCAGCCTCCACTATAGAGCTCAAAGCCTTGGAGGTTGTTATAGTGGATCTTCAGATCGAAGCAGCCGGATACATAGTTATTATCAATGATAGAATTGAGTCACTCAAGTTCTGCTCAGTAAGACCAACCATGGAGTACAGACTTCTTCACTTGTACTTCGAGTAGTGCATTGCTAGAACTACACTGTACATGTATAACAACGTTAGAACCTCCCAGGCTGTTGCACACACCTCTCACAACTAAATACACTTCCTCGTACTCTGTACATATTCATTCTGGCTCAACTGTTCAATATAAGGCGTGCAATCAGGACACCTTTTTTCAACAGAGCAGATGCACCTAGTACGCAGGACATGTGCATGTGCCCTATCGAGATGCGCCACTGTCTAAACCATGCATTGTGCAGTTGATCCATTGTGGCACGCCTTACCGAGTCTCTGCTGCCTGTGTACGCGCGGGTAGCCTTGTTGCTCAGCTGCACTGCATATACTTCACCCTTGTGACCTCTCAGTACACACCGTGGCAGGTTGGGGCAGCGCACATCAAATACGTACGCCTGCGTGCAAAGGGAGCATAACAAAAAGACCAGAATAATAATATGACGGTAGGAAGGTGACTTTAGTACTTACTTTACACCAAACCTCAAGGACACAGTAATAATACGTCTTTCAGAAGTCAGAACCACTCATGCTTTGCAAGGCGGGAGGGATACGTGCGTGCACGCAGTAGGTTCTATCAGAAGGTCTCCTGAAATTTCTTGCATTGCACCACACACGTAACCTACAGAGCCTGTTAGGTGTCAGCTCAGTAGTCGAGGCTGGCGTCAGACAAGCAGAAAAAGTCCCGCAACAGCCCATACCCCGCAGACCTACACTTACCTACACTTACCTACACTTACCTACACTTAACTACACTTAACCACACTTAACTACAACAATAGTACTACCCAATCGGCTGTACACATGCAGCTAGCTGTTGTGACCGTCTAGGCCGAATAAGTAGTACCCATGGCTGTCAGCACATTCATGAACTGCTTACATGGTGATTCTTGCAGCCGATGATCATCCGCTCTGCCTTGATCTGCATGCAGTAGATTGTTCCTGCGCGATGCACCTTGACAGTTCTGTGTATGGCATGCATACAGGACATTTCAGGCATTCTTTGAGATACATAGGTGTTTACGTGTAATAGTGTGTGCATACGATCCAGTACAAACTGTTTCTAAGAACGTGCAATAAGATCTCAGCCAGGATGCTCAAAGAGAAGAACTTCCCAGCCCGACCTCTTGGAAACGACTTTCTTGGGCGCGACTCTACTGTAAATGCTTGCCGGTGTTTGAGTCTCTATTTCCATGTGCACATGTGCCGCACAAGCCAGTATCTTATGTTCTTACTTTGCTATAGTCTTGGTTGTCCAGCTCCAGTACTGCATGAGGACACACACACACACACACACGCACACACACACACACACACACACACACACACACACACACACACACACACACACGTGCACACATACACACGTGAGATATTTGCATGAACTGAAAGCACTCAGCTCAGTGAGCTGGTTCAGAGTAACGATCAAACCAAAAATGGACAAATGGGATTTAGCGGGTTCCGCATTCCAGCTCTTCATGTGTATTTTGTAATTTGTGTATGGTGCTTGCACTGTTGATAATGCACCGTGTACATATGTCTCCCTACCTCCCCAACACAAGTGCGTGCACACGCATACCGTAATGTCGCATACAAAAGCAGGTGCTTACGGCCGTATAAGCCGATGTCAGTGCTAGGCGTCTATTCAAGTCAGGCTTCTATTCAAACCGCGTACCGGTATCTCTATGTGGGTCAAACCAGGCGTATGCGCTGACAGTGTATCTAAAAAATCAGTCTTGTATTCAAAACAGGCTTCTACTATGATACAAGACAGGCTTTTATACAAGACACTACAGTATGTGCCCACACACATACAAATCTAAAGAACATGGCTCAATTTCCCAGAAAAATTATCTTATTTATAGTGATTGTGCTGAGAGAGATGACTGAAGTGGCAAGCAGCAATTCTGACTGAGCTTACTCGTAGACAGCCGTCCGAGTAGCCACCAATGACAACCTGCATCCCAAACAGTGCCACACACCAGCAGTTGGTATGCTTATCCGGCACAAACCGATGCAAGACTGTCCACTTGAAGCAGCTGCTGATGTCCAACACCCTGGATATCAGTAGCAAGAACGCCAGCAACCAAAACAATATTTAAAAAGTATTACCCCCAGACGAATAGTGAATGGGGGGGGGGGGAGGGGGCATGTTCATTTGTGGCACCAGTAACAATACTCCACCGATGACTGTACATGTTCAATGCAGCAGTATGGTGTTTAAACTGGATGCTCATCTTGGAGGGGAGCGAAACCCTTCTAAAAGTCTGTGGTAGTTAACACGCATGCACTCGCTATTGCAGATCAGTGGAGAGCACACATCATATGGAGGATTCATGGAGTGCTGGGCAACCGAATCTGGCATGTGATAATCATGTAGGATAGTCCACGCACGAGGTGCAGCCCATGAAATGGGCACCCATGAACTAGGCGGAGTGTGGACGGCCAGTATGATAGTGTGTATGTATGTCCACGCACAAAGTGCAGCCCATGAAATGGACGGAGTGTGGACGGCCCACGCACGAAGTGCAATGCCCGTTAGGAGGCAGGCGTGTGGGCGTATGAGTGTGATGGCCAAAGGCCGTGGTAGATTGCCAGATGAGAGAAGATAGCTGGCCCAGCACTCCTATTTATTTCGTCTTTTATGAATTCTGATACCTGTGTTGAATCAAGGATATCAAAATTATTCATAGATGGGGAGAGGTGGGTGGGTGAGAAAGGAACAAACCGGTGTTCTTCTCACGACCCAAGCAAAGAAAATATGAAGTAGTGAAGTGGCCAGCGCAAAGTATTGGTGTATGCGTTATGGGTTCAAACTCCGATGAATGCTGCAGCCGCATATGGCCGGTTGGCTGGCGAGTTCAGGTGAGTTCCGGCGTACGCATGTTACATGTGTTGTCCCTGCCCTTTTGGAGGGTCTGTGCCCCTTTTGGCACGTGTGTTCGGACCGCGCGCGGACTGCGCAGGTTGCGCATGCTTGCTTAATTATCGTACGCATTCTTGTTGTTGTGCGCATGCTTGCATAATTATCGTACGCTTTCTTGTTGTTTTGGGTGCCTTCTTCCTGAGACTCTCCTTGGAGTAAGACTAAAATAATCTGTCCTCTGAGTGTGGCGTATGTGTGATGTAAGACTAAGAGAGTAACCGGAGGGGGCTATCGTCGAGGCTAAAAAAAACCGACGACACATGCAACCGCGGCGTGCATGTACGTGTTGCTTGACATGCATCAATGAATAGCGTGGGATATGCGGGCACTTTGGAGGCCGCTGGAGTGCGTGTGAAGCGGTGGCTTGTGCAATGTGTTAAAGGGGAAGTTAAGGCAAAAACTAAAATTTCACCAGTTGTACTCTTCGGGGTGCTGAGTCGAATGGTCTTTGTCCGAGAAAGCTGAGACGCTCCCTTCCTACTTGAATCCCAATCGAACTCGCGCACTTCCACCGAAACTGGGTGACTGCGCCCTACTAGATGGGGATTTGTATGCAAAATGTCACTAAAAGCGCCATTTCGTTCTTATAAAAGCACGGATGACCGCGATTGGCCCATATGTTGTAGTCTTTTGGACGCTGAGTCGACTGGTTTTGGTCCGAAAAGGCTGCGATGCAGCGTTCCTCCTTTATTCCCAATCGAACATGGTTGAACAAGCGGTCACGTGCTCCTGGGTGCCCAAATCACCTGGTCACCACGCCAGCAGGCGACAACTTTCACACCAAGGTTCAACTCGAGTGACAGGACTGCACCCAAAAAAGGTCAAACAGGCTAGTAAGTTGTACCCTGCAGGCACGGTGACCAGGTGACTGGTGTACGCAGGAGCACGTGACCGCTTGTTCAACCGTGTTCGATTGGGAATAAAGGAGGAACGCTGCATCGCAGCCTTTTCGGACCAAAACCAATCGACTCAGCGTCCAAAAGACTACAACATATGAGCCAATCGCGGTCATCCATGCTTTTATAAGAACGAAATGGCGCTTTTAGTGACATTTTGCATACAAATCCCCATCTAGTAGGGCGCAGTCACCCAGTTTCGGTGGAAGTGCGCGAGTTCGATTGGGATTCAAGTAGGAAGGGAGCGTCTCAGCTTCCTCGGACCACGACCATTCGACTCAGCACCCCGAAGACTACAACTGGTGAAATTTTAATTTTTGCCTTAACTTCCCCTTTAACCTACATTACCGCAAGCTCTCATGTTCTATCAAACAATGAAACCCTCATCAGAACACAATAGCGGCAATCGCTTACGCCACTGAGCCATCATGGCAGGCTGTTGCCAACAGGTTACGCTCTTCGTCCACATTGAAGCCAAGAATTCTGTGTGAGCAGTTGCCAGAAGGCACATTCAGACGACAGGCAAGAGCAAGGAAATAAGAGAGCGGCTAGATGTAGGAGGTGTGGGTGTTGCCCTGTGGGCAGGGGAGTGGGTGTGGGAGTGGGTGTGGGTGTGGGTGTGGGCAGGGGTGTGGGTGTGGCATTCATCACATGACTGCATGTTCACGGTCCTGTACTCTCAGGCAAAAACAACGTGGGCAACGAGTTTGCATTAGCAGCTACTGTAAAAGCAGAAATTTTCGGTAGTGTAATATTTTCGGTATTCTCCAAAATGGGCGGTTCTGTAGAGGGAAATTTTCGGTAAAACCCGTTCTCCAGGGAAGTGTACTAGTACTACATGTATACAATATCATCGGTTGTACCGAAATTTTCGGTGTGTTTTATTTTCGGTAAAAATTGTCGGCACAGAAGTTACCGAAAATAAAACACCACCGAAAATTTCTGCTTTTACAGTATGGCATTGGGGATCTTGTATGCATGTACTCAAGTTTCAATGACTTCCTTTGTCACTGAGGGAATGAGAATGCCGCCATGCATGCATGACAATGAGCACACACATATGCACACATGCACACACGCACGCACGCACGGACACACACACACACACACACACGCACGCACGCACGCACACACATACACACCTGACATACCTATTTATCACCGGCACACTCACATTGAGCCTATGCCACTATAATGTAATTATACTAAGCTCGTCTCACCTGCTGCGATGCACCTTCATTCTAGTATACTGGATGAGAGGCTTGTTCCAATGGTGCACTACACGCTCAATACGCATTGCCAGGTTCAGCCAGTTTGGATCACGGTGCTGCTGCTGGAACTGAACACTCACACCTGCAATGTACCGTGAGGTTCGGGACAGGCATGGAGTCAGTGAAGCAAACAATAACCTCACACTTAGACCAACACCACCCCCTCCCCCCCCCCCCCCCGGCCTTACGGAAGAACACCCCCCCCCCCCCACACACACACATGCACATGCACATGTACACACACACATGCAGACACACACACACGCACATGCAAGGGTATAGCAAGAAGGGCATGTTGATGTGTGCAATAAATGCTAGCGACAGACACGTGGGCCGGATCACAATTTTAAAAGTTCCGGTCACTGTTAGAATGTCAACAAGCAGCGGTTCAATACTCATGGCATGAACCAGTTATAGTCTAAAACACCTTGAACCATGGAAGTTGATATTGCTCCACTAATACCCCCCCCCCCTGCCTCCCATTCACCCTTACATCCACTAATACCCCCCCCCCCCTCCCCGGCCCTGCCTCCCATCCACCCGTACACTAATAAAAAGCACATTAGTCATTAGTTAGAGGGTGGCTCAGTTTTCTCACTGTGTGATGCTATGAGATGATCACGTTCATCTGGCTAGTTAGCCAATCTCGCTGGTTGTAAGATGCGGTATCCTGCTACTGGCTCACCGCCTCCTGATTACTGAGAGCATGTGCATGTAATCTCCATTGGCTTGAACTACCTCTTCAGGTGCTGTTTTGATTGATCACCCCTCCCCCCCCCCCCCAAACACACAGATACATTCTAGATGTCCACTGAGGCTCTAAAATGTCTCACCATACATTCTATGACCAGCTTTGAAATGTTCAAGTTGCAAGATGACATCACCCCAAACCCAGCACACACACACGTGACAGTGTTCAGCATGTGCATCAGTGCACTCTGCACACCACACAGGGCGTCACAGGACAGTGCCGGGGAGTGGTATGACTGGGGTCCGGGAGTGTCCCGCGGGAGGGGGAGGGGGGATCGGATTTTTGGCCAATAGAGCACGTTTTAGCGCTCTACAGGCGCTCTGGGCGGACCATCCTGGACGCAAAGTGGTACGTACGACCATGGTCGTACTGGTGATGCCGTGTGTGATGCCATGGTCGTACTGGTGATGCCGTGTGTGATGCCGTGTGTGATGCCGTGTGTGATGCCCCTGCCACACTCTGCACTCTGCACTCTGCAGTAGAGAGTCACATGTGATCCCACTTATAAATTATGATATCGTTTATCACCATACTGACCTGTTTGTCTGGACAATTCCTTGTATTTGAACCACCACACGTCGGTAGAGAACGCTACACGGTGCCAGCGCTTGCATACCTGTCACGCATGCACAGCACCAAGAAATGACAAAACTGCTCAGTACACACACGTACACGCACACACGCACAGGCGGTAAATACGTGTTAAAAGTGCCCAATGGTGCAATCAAGTAGTTACTAGCTACTGTAGATTGTGGGGATGAGACACGAAGCTTGAATAGCCGAAACCACGCAGTCTGCCTTCTTGTGCAGGGGAAGAATTACTCTCATACAGGGTCACATGTGTCTGCTTTGGACTTGTCCAGTGTTGGTGAAGTAAAGGTGCAAGTGCTCCGGCAACGACATGCAGACTAACACATGCACCGTGTGTATGCAGCAACAGCTATGTGACTGGCATGATGTGCACCCCTTGAAACCTGGTCATTACAACCTTTGTTCAGCATGTCCATGTTTGGAGCAAATAGCCTAGAGTTTTCAGTTCAGTGTCTGCTGTGAAGCCAGAATTGATTGCCAGTGTGGAAAATCCCACTTGTACTTGTAGCTAGCTGTAGCCATTTAGCTGTATGGCTGTCCAATTACAAACCTACTCCTACAGATGTAAGTCCAAACTGTTTCAAGAATATTTCGACCATGCACCCCCCCCCCCCCCCCTTCCCCTAACAAGGTGAACCAATGACACCCCTACAATAGCCGTGTAGCTATCACTACCAGTGCAATGTACCTGGCTGGCAATGCGCAGCTCATCCGGTGTGAGGTACTGCAGGATGCACACGGCTAGGTGACTTGGCAGCAGAGAAACGAAATCACAGTATGTGTACGGCTGTAGGTAGGAGAGAGAGAGAGAGAGAGAGAGAGAGAGAGAGAGAGAGAGAGAGAGAGAGAGAGAGAGAGAGAGAGAGAGAGAGAGAGGGAGGGAGGGAGGGAGGGAGGGAGGGAGGGAGGGAGAGAGAGAGGGAGGGAGGGAGGGAGGGAGGGAGGGAGGGAGGGAGGGAGGGAGGGAGGGAGAGAGTGTGTGAGAGAGAGAGAGAGAGAGAGAGAGAGAGAGAGGGAGGGAGAGAGAGGGAGGGAGAGAGAGAGAATATTATAACACCAACACTTGTACCAGCAGGACTGATCTCTGGGAGTCTCACAACCGGCATAGTTCTTGTATGAATTGATAGGCATGGTACCTCCATGGTTCCAAGCCTGGCTCCAGTATCCAGCCCAGGATACCGGCACTCCCACTGGCCCAGCGTACACCGTACAATCGTTCACCTAGTCCTTCACTCTAAAGCCAAAGCACGTGACTAGATCTTTAAAAACCCACTTTTTCACAGGGTTCAGCGTTCAGCCATGCTTTCCAGGCACACATGCATGTACATTTTCATAGGGGTAGGACAACACATTTCACTCGGCAGCAACAGCAAACCACCAGAGTTGGAGATGATAGTGGCATCAGCGTAACACGTTCATGCAGCAAACTGGACATTTCATGAGCAGGCACATCCTTACAACAATGGAAAAGACAATGTAGAAGAGCTCGCGTGCATCCAGCTGTGTCAATATCAGGTAGATCGCCTGTTCTTGCTCAGTTTCTGCATTCAAGATTGGAACAGACATGTGCCATGTGGACAGATAGCAGAAGACATGTGCCGTGTGGACAGATAGCAGAAGACATTCCTTCACAAGCAGGAGAGGAGCCAAGCAATCATATTTCCGATTCGAAATCGGCAACCATAGCTGTCTCCATGTGCAAACACTCGCTACAATCATAACGTAGAGCTTGAAGCTGTACGTTTCGGTAACAAATGTTCCGGTAACAAATGTTCCGGTAACAAATGTTCCGGTAACAAATGTTCCGGTAACAAATGTTCCGGTAACAAATGTTCCGGTAACAAATGTTCCGGTAACAAATGTTCCGGTAACAAATGTTCCGGTAACAAATGTTCCGGTAACAAATGTTCCGGTAACAAATGTTCCGGTAACAAATGTTCCGGTAACAAATGTTCCGGTAACAAATGTTCCGGTAACAAATGTTCCGGTAACAAATGTTCCGGTAACAAATGTTCCGGTAACAAATGTTCCGGTAACAAATGTTCCGGTAACAAATGTGTTCCGGTAACAAATGTTCCGGTAACAAATGTTCCGGTAACAAATGTTCCGGTAACAAATGTTCCGGTAACAAATGCCGCTTTCTGTCAGAGTATTACTGGTACATGTGCCTGTACAACAGGTTTATGATCAGTATAGTCAGTATAGCCAGTATAGTGGCTTGAAGTCAGCCCCCGCCAACCTGAATACCATCCTACGTCAGCCACAGTGCAGAGCATGCAGCCACAGTGCAGAGCATGCAGCCACAGTGCAGAGCATGCAGCCACAGTGCAGAGCATGCAGCCACAGTGCAGAGCATGCAGCCACAGTGCAGAGCATGCAGCCACAGTGCAGAGCATGCAGCCACAGTGCAGAGCATGCAGCCACAGTGCAGAGCATGCAGCCACAGTGCAGAGCATGCAGCCACAGTGCAGAGCATGCAGCCACAGTGCAGAGCATGCAGCCACAGTGCAGAGCTATAACCACTATACACACAGTCAAGACTGCAGTGCCGTGCTCGTACCCGTCCAAGATGAGATGTACCGGTGCAGCAGTGTCTTGCCATTAGCAGGAAGCCTGGAATGCTGCGGCGATGAACACACACACATACACACACACACACACACGCACGCACGCACGCACGCACGCACGCGCACGCACGCACGTACGCACGCACGCACGCACGCGCGCACACACACACACACACCGCGCACGCACGCACCCACGCACGCACACACACACACACACACACACACACACACACAATGATTAGGACACATGTCAGGTAAAGGCAGTCCATACAGGTTACACAGGGCACATTGCAAAGAAACCCATGTTAAGGTGATCGCGTGTGGTCACATAGGCAGGTCACGGGTCTTTTCTAAAATACTACAAGTAGGTGTGGACACGTGGGTTGGGAACCTGGCATGGCCAGTCTCTATGGTCCTTATGCACGTTGTACAGATGTACAAAGTTCTGTACTAGGGTCGTAGGTAGGTGTGTACATACCCGGTTGGGTGTTCATTGTGTGCTATACATGCGCATTTGACCAATTTAGTCTCATAATTCATGGCAAACAATCGCTTTTCCAGCTTCTTCACTTTGGGATTGAACTAACTAGCTAGATCTCTTCCGGAAAAAAAGTTTTCGTATGAAATGCCTTCATGGCCCATTTCACAGTGGAATGAGCAGTAAACACAATAGGGTCCTGCACATTCAACACCCAGCCTGCCGGGTCTACGGGATTCTACAAGATTCTACGAGATTCTACGGGATTTCGTGCATCCGTACAACGTGCATAAGGCTGGTCTTTCTACTGCAGTGCATCACTGCATCATATGGATTATGGACACATGTCGATTTCCAATCGAGAGGTTGCGGGTTCAATTCCCGGCGATTATGGTCGCACGCGTCTTTCTTCTCTTTCTCATTCTCCTACTTGTAGCTCTTCTTTCATTCTGGGCCTGGGTGGTTACCAACAGCCAGTGCATGCCGGAGTATGTGGTGTGGTGTGTGTGTGAAAAAATAAATATAGGATGAAAAAAAATGAAAAATAGGGATTCATTGCCCAGAAAAAGTCACTTCGACCAGCCGTGTGGCGTAAACCAGCCTAAAATTAGTGGCGGTAAATTCATCAGCCTTGCAAGCTGTTGAATGGTGTACTCCCAGCACAAGTTGCTATGTCTAACATAGCTTGTTCGCTATCATCGCTTCAGCGATGGGCAGGAGAATGAGTACTGCAATGAGTGCTATACACATGCAGATCGGTTTTGCTCCAATGTTAGTGCAAGCAAAGAAACTGGGCCTTCCTCTTTTCTGACCAGACCGCGGCAACACATTCTTGACACCGGTTTGTCATGACTTACATGTGACCTGTTCAAGGTTGACGATGCTTTGCCCGCTGGTGTCATCATTGCAGCACGTGACAAGGACCTTGCTGTCATCGGTTGATCTGCCTGCAGCCTAACAGTTATCACAGTGGATAAGCAGTACACTGAAGCAGTGCAGGTACCTATGCCGCTAACGTATCTACTTCAAGCAGTGAACTTGTACTAGGTAATCGGCTGGACTATTCCCAAAGTATGCAGCAATGGTAAAGCCTGATAGTTTGTAGGGACTACCTGCAAAGGCCTGTAAGCGGCGCTTTCTAGCAATCCTAACTGTTATCATCTCGGCACACTCCATATCAGAGACATCGGCACTACCGTACATACGTGAACACCATACACGATCCAGGTATTCACATTATAAAGTTCAGGATACCTTGAGGCCATGTCGCAAGAGAACCTCCCTCCTTCCGGTGTGACTGGGTGCACGATGGAGTCCTCTGGCGGCGTTCCAAGCTGTTCAAATGCGTCCGCAGCATACTTAGTCCACTCGCGGCCCTTGTGCGTACTTAGCCAGGGTGCGTGCATTCTAACCGGGTGACAGATCTCCAGATCTTCGTATTGGCCGGAGCGCTCAGCTTCCACTTCACTCAGCTGCTGCTGCAAGCCATCCGCCTTGTCTTCCTCTGCTCGTTCTGTATCACTATCATCGCAGTCACTGCTGGCACTCTCACTGTCACTTTCACTTACCCAATCGCTTTGCCGACATTTCGAGTTATTCGATCTGGCACTTGCTGCCATCACTCTGACGGGTGTCAGGCGCACACTTGGACTGAAATGGCGAGGGCAAGGTGAGGTCGAGGACGCTTCAAGATTGCCCCATCTTTGGCTTGCCGCTCGCCTTGGTGTTTGTCTTGGTGTTGTTGTTGCGCTGTGTGTGCTGTGGGGAGTACCTGTTGCCTGTGCTGCAATTGCTCTAGGTGTTGTTGCTTTCTTCACCGGCATTGGGCATGGCAGAAATGGAGGTGGGCTAGAAGGTGTCTTCCGAATTTTAGGTGTGTTAGAGGGAAGACTGGGCAGCTGCTGCTGTTGGCCAGTTTTCCTTCTATTCATGGAGGATGTGGTGAGCAGTTTAGGCTTTGTAACATGATCAGCACGACTGCCTTGGTGCAAGCTCATCATCTTCAGCTTATCCTCAGTGAACTGAAGAAGACAACGACGATCCACACCCGGAAGTCCCGTGTCGAAGGTGTCTGGCAGAACAAGGCGCAGTGTGCGCCGCTCAATGCTTGTGTCGTCGGTGAAGCGTGATTGCCACCATTTCAACTCCAGTGTCAGCTTCTCGTCCTCGGTGTGGGATGCAGCGTACAGCTTATGGTGCTCCTCGACGTCTGCCTGCAAGTACAATATGGAACAAAACCCAACATCTATAGTCATAGCCAGATGGGAAAGACAGCCTATAACAGAACAATCAAGTGACACACCCAGGCTACGTACATTTCAGCACTAACAGGGGCACCCATAATCGTAGCACCGCTTGCAGATAATCACAAAGAATGGCATTGTACACTTGTCCACGTCCCGTGTTTGTGCACAAACTACAGGTAAAGGTAAGCTATATAGCCCTGCGATCACCACCACTTCATCATACTCTACATCTACAGCTCTCCAAACAGCAGACTGTGGAACAAGGGAGGTAAAGGTAAGCTATTAGAAATAGCCCTGCGATCACCACCACTTCATCATACTCTACATCTACAGCTCTCCAAGCAGCAGACTGTGGAACAAGGGAGGTAAAGGTAAGCTATTTGAAATAGCCCTGCGATCACCACCACTTCATCATACTCTACATCTACAGCTCTCCAAGCAGCAGACTGTGGAACAAGGGAGGTAAAGGTAAGCTATCAGAAATAGCCCTGCGATCACCACCACTTCATCATACTCTACATCTACAGCTCTCCAAGCAGCAGACTGTGGAACACGGGCATGGGAAGCAGATTTCCACTGGTCTAACGGACTGTGTGATGTCAGTGTGTCACGCATCACAAAACACAATGGTTGATACAGGCATGTACATTGTATCTGCACTTGGTCAAAGTGATGATAATACCACCATAAGAACTGCCTACATGATGCAAATGAGAATATGAAAGATATGTATTTTTGCCTATTGTATCTGTTCCCCTCTTTGTCCATCACAACCGTAACATATCCCTTGTTGCTGCAAGAGCCTTGTCGTGGGTAGCACTCAATTGGTGCAGAACTTCCATCCTTCAATGAGAATAAGGAAAATCCTCAGTTAAAAATGCAGCTTACATGAAATTTCTTCTACAAGTCTACATTCCGCATACAGACCTGCAGAAGCTACATTCGTTCCAAAGTCGCATTTGACTGCTCTTAATGATAGCTTGCATAGACCTCGGTCCTACCGGTAGGACCTACCGGTAGGACCATCATACACAGACATGCTGCATGGCCTATGTTCTAACATTGACCTAAAGCTTGACCCTAAACTGTTGCTCCGAGGGCAGGGGCTAATGAAGGAGTCCACAAATTTTAGACGTGATCGCACAAGGCATACTACGAAATTCCATGGTAACAGCCTATGGTAACCATGGAAACAGAGTATGGAATTATGCATTCCACTGCCTTGGCAGGCTAATAGAAACATTAGGACCTCACCACGATTGATGTGCCATGGTCAAAATTCACTTTGGACAGAGTTGCTAGCGCTCCGACAGGGGTATGTGCGGCCATTTTGACAATTGATAAAATTGCGCATATGCAATGCACTGGACATAGCCTTGCATTTTGCGCCATTATTTTTCCTGACAAAGACCTCATCTCAACAATTGTTTCAAGAAATTTCTCAACCAAAAGCACTTTTGCAGCGCGATTTCTTGGGTCCTACCGGTAGGACCCGTGGTCCTACCGGTAGGACGGTATGCAAGCTATCATTAAAGAGCGCCAACTTCTGTGTCAGGAGCTGGAACTGTGCGTTTGCACTGCTCCAGGACCTAGGTTAAGTAGTAGTAATCGGTGCATGCTTTTTTACTCCCAGGTTGCCATGGTTATGCTCTATGCCTGATCTCTTTCCAACTCCAGTCAATGTCCAGTCACAGGCCTTTTTCTTTCCTTTTTTCCCCGCAAAGCATTGGTCCGGGGCAGCGTCCACCGGACCAGCTCCCGTGCCCCCTGCTAAAATGAAGGCACAATACTGAGCCTGACAGTTTACCTCAGTGCTTAGATAGGCCATGTCCTCGTGCTGGGGATGGTACGGACGAGTTGAGAGGGATTTCTAAATTGGAGAAAGGCAACAAAGAATAAGAATACATGTAGTATCCCATGATCACATTGCTTTCAAGTACATGTCACAAGTACAATTAGCTGTACATGTAGCTGTACATGTAGCTGTAGCTAATCCAGAAATGATTTTTCATGAAAGCGTATCTGTGAATCCCCATTGAGTATAGCAGAAGCAAGAAAACCAGCATACACTGTTTAAAACCGAGGTGCGAAAGTGCACATCCAACGGAAATGGCTACAATAAACAGAGTGCAAGGTCGATGTCAATCACGCGGCTTCATCGTGTCATCCTCATCATCTTATTCATGCCGGGCCGTATTGACGGTTACCTTCAGCATTGCCCTCCTTCTCTCTCGCTGAGCGCTTGTCAGTCTCGGATCCTTGTCAATACTCTTCACTCCCGACACTGCCTCCTGCAAACGTACAACGACATACATGTACATGCACGGCCGTATATACATACGAATGACTGATGTGAGCGGTACATGTACAGTTTACGGATTCTCCAGAAGCCAAGTGGATGCCTATCGAAGGAAATCTCCCAGGAAGGAAAGTTGAGAGGACAGATGGCTATGCCATGAGGAAGAGAGGAACATTGTAGTATGCCATCAACATAAGGGAGCATCTCATAAGTTCGCATTTTGTTTCTAAACGTAACGCATTTCGAAACGGGGGTAGGGGGGGTAGCGCCCTTTTCGAATAGAAAAATGACTGTTCGCACATTTTCTGGAACTGTACAATCTGCTACCATGCTAGATCCCTGCAGCAAATGAGTGTGTTTAGGTGGAGATCTAGCTGTGTTTGCAGATCAGCTAACCCTTGCATTGCATGCATGCAGGCTACTCAGAGGTGTCAAATGTCACACCAGGCTGATCAAACCGTGTACATGTACATGTACCTGGCCAGCGTTTACAGCAGTACAGCTAGCAGTACAGTTGTTGTGGAGGAACTATGTTTATGAGCGTGTACATGTCATTGATTCTACTTGTACTCAGTAAATGCGGTACTACTGTATGCCATTCACGACCGCTCTAGCAAAACATTCATATCCATGTACATGATTGTACAATCATGTACATAAGCATACCATAGCATGGACGTGTACATGTAGTATACAGTAGATAAACACAGAAAATGTGCGATAAGACTTTAGAATAGAGGGGGGAGGTAGGGGGGTAAAGTCTATTCGAAATGCGTTATGTTTGCAAAATAAATGCGAACTTATGAGATGCTCCCTAACAAGCTGATATCGGAAGCATGTTTTCAAATCGCAGCTAGCTTAACAATATTATGCCCAGACGTTCTACCATAAGACAGCCAGACCTCTCTAAACTGAACTACATGAACTATCTTTCCCTACAATAATGGATATCATGCTGATAACTTCGGCAAGAGAAGTGATCATCTAAACCATGCTACACACACACACACACACACACACACGCACGCACATGCACACACACACACACACACACACACACACACACACACACACACACACACACACACACACACATACGCACGCACGCACGCACGCACACACGCACACACACACACACACACACACACACACACACACACACACACACACACACACACACACACACACACACATGGAGTGACATACACAGTGACACGAACACATATACACACACGCGCGCGCGCACACGCGCAGTGTCATGTGTAATGCCATTATACACAACTGACAAAAACCTGTAGTGAGAGACATTCTGCTGTTCAGTGAAGTAGTGGGGTAAATGAGGGGGGATAACCACCACCTCCGGCTCGTCAAACCAGCAGCAGAAAATCATTGTTCATTCATATCTGACAAACAATGCAGTCCTTGCTGCTGGAATCCCACAATAGGGATAGCACTGTCGGCTTTGCACGTAATATGGATAGCACTGTCGGTGTTGGCCATGAAAATGACAGTAATGCTAACACTGCAAGAGAGGCTGGTCTTCCGCAAGGTTCTACATGTACTGGAAGGCTCCTACGAGTACGTGCACAACTACGAGTACGTGCACAATACCATGAACAATTACCCCCCCCCCCCACCGTTGTCACTCACTCTGCATATTTTTGGCTGTCTGATGAGCCATGCTCTGTATGCAGCATTGTACTTGGTCATTTCCTCCGCCTGCTTCTGCCCACGCTCCGGAAGGTAGACGGGCATGAAGCGACTGCCGGGATAGGCACGCTCAGCCATTATCAACATGTCCTTCATGTGTAGCGGATACAGCAGCTAACAGTTAAGCAAACACACACACACACACACGGAGTGAGGTCAAACTACTGGCACCATCACCATCTACTGGATATACATGCAGCTTGAGCATAGTGCTTCAATAGAAGTGCAAGTACGATGAGCGGACCTGCGTGACCAAGGCTTAATCAGGTATGCCCCATGAATACCAGTCACATTTGAGCAACTGGGATGTACAAACACATCACTGTGTCCTCGTGATCAGTGGCCTTTAAACTGTAAATGTGCTCAAACGAATCATGGCCTACCAGGTAACGAGGCCCTCGGGACCATTCATGTGTGAAGGAGGACATGAGAAGCGAGGTCTGACTCTGCTGACTCTGCTGACCTGTATAAACATGCACGGATCAGTGTTGGATCGATTGTCGCTTTCACCCCCCCCCCCCCCCCCCCTCTCAATGCATGTACCGGGCTATGTCTGAGGCTATGGACATGCAACAGTGAGTTGAATGTCCCTGCATGCCAATGTGTACCCAGTGTCCCTGCATGCTGATGTGTACCCAGTGTCCCTGCATGCTGATGTGTACCCAGTGTCCCTGCATGCTGATGTGTACCCAGTGTCCCTGCATGCATGTGTACCCAGCTGCTCTAGCAAAACCTACCATGGCCAAGGATCGCCGCTGCTCCGAGGACATGTGCTTCAGTAGCTGCTTTAGCAGAGCACATCTCTGCAAAGTGGAACACAACGTAGTGCCATAAGCACACACAGACACACACAGACACACACACACACACACACACACACACACACACACACACACACACACACACACACACACACACACAAACACTTTATGACTGGTTTGAAGACTGCCAAAAGCCGAAACCATGCCTACAAGTTACAACTAACACAACAATATTCGTGACAGTAGTCGCCATTTTGACCAAAAACCAGAGGCATGCAAACCAAGTGCACTCACAAAGTCATGGGCCACATGCTAGTCATGACGTTTGCTTGCACTTCTAAGTATACAATTTATACTAGATGGCATGTACAGTCAAACCTCCTTAGGACGAACACTGATAAAGCGAACTTTCCTTTAGTACGAACTACCAATCCTATGGTTGGCCAGGCATCATATCAAGTCATAATTATTCGTTTACGACGAACTCTGTACGGCAAACTTTCGTGAAGACGAACTAATTTCAAGCGTGATTTGAACAAAATCAGCGTGTAGAACGAACTTTCGGTCCCTGTGAGTGCGCTGGCTGTATTTTTTTTCCTATAGGCGAGGCCTCTTGTACTGGCAAAACATGTTACAAGGCGGAGGACATGCTGTCATGAATTCATTGCACATTGTACTTACCTGTGGCTGGGTTATGTTATGAAAAAAACGTTTTACATTTGCCACAGCATGCACCCTCACATAAATACAATCCATATGATATGCAAAGTTGAACTCGTAACATTTTGTCCTTCTCCTTATTCACCATATGATATGCATATCATTTTTTTGTCAGATCTGGATAAGAAGAACTCTGGATAAGACAAACTAACTTGTTCGGTCCCTTGAAGTTCGTCCTAACCAGGTTTGACTGTAGTATTAGTGAACTTCTGTTATAAAGAACTGATTCTCCTGCACAATGGTGTTTGTAATATCAGGAGTCAACTGTACTAATTTTGCACCGGCCTGTGCATGATAGTACATGTAAATACAGGGTTGCATGCAACCCTGCTTTGGGTTCAACTCTCGGCTGGTCACTTGGCACTGCTTGCTAGCGTAACGGCTGGTCACTTGGCACCGCTTGCTAGCGTAACGGCTGGTCACTTCGCACTGCTTGCTAGCGAAACCTTTTGAACCAAGTAACGTAATGTGAAGTTCTGCCATCGCCAGCAAAGGGAGGGGTTGCACACACTCACACTCAGCAAAGGCAGGATTGCACACACTCTTAAAGATTCGGCGTGTATGCACATTCTTCTATGCGTACTACTGCTGGCAGCACAGAAGTACACAAATAGTGTGTGTGTGGGGGGGGGGGGGGGGGGGGGCAATGCCATACCGGGCGCTGCTGCCGGTGCAGCCCCCCCCCCCCCCCCCCCCCAGACCTGCGCCACACACTGGGATGTTGACTGGTGCAGCAGGGAACCGTAAGCTGACGACTCATTCAATCGCATTCCATTGAGCAGAACTGCACATGTACACGACTTATCTTACCAGGTGAAAATACCCCCTAGCTCCTCATGTGTGTGTGTGTGTGTGTGTGTGTGTGTGTGTGTGTGTATGTGTGTGAATGTGTGTGTGTGTGTGTGCTCCTCATGTGTGTGTGTGTGTATGTGTGTGAGAGAGAGAGAGGGAGGGAGAGAGGGAGTGAGTGGGATCATTTCTAACTCCACCCAGAGTGTGGGGATTTCAGGGGGTGTCAGCCGCTAGGCGGTTCAATAGTCGTCTTTCCAAGATTCCTTTTGAGTCTCTTTGTCCTCTCCCGGGGAGACCCACCTGACCAGTTTTTGCAGTGAACAAGTACAGACTCAGTGTCAGTACAGTGTGCGTGTGTGTGTGTGCGTGTGTGTGTGTGCGTGTGTGTGTGTGCGCGCGCGCGCGCGCGTGTGTGTGTGTGTGTGTGTGTGGCGTATGTGTATATCGGTCCAATACCTCGCTATGGTTCCAGTTGGTGAGCCAATGGTTGACCTCGCGTAGTTCCTGAATGAACTTGGCCGAACCGGTCGCTAGCCTACGAAAGGAGTCACCGAACGGAGACGACTCTTTTCCGTGCATTGAGCCATCGGTAACATGCAGCGATGGTCGTCCGAACGTAGGCTCCTGGCTTGCTGGCTCAGCTCGGAGTGGGCCATCATCAGGCGGCGATTCAGACGCCGTGGCCATTGCCTTGCCGCGTGCACTGACTGCAAGCTAGTCTTGTGAAACTTTACCCGGAGTCAGTGCAAAGAAGTCCGATGGAAGACCAAAACGTGCAAAGTGCGTGGTCGTTCGTATAGCCTTTTCACCACTGGATCAGTTTCCCATAATCGAGTGACAACTATTACTTACTTGATGTATTTTGCCTGAGAGGAAGATTGACTTCTACTGGCTTTATTCGTCACTCACACCAATCAGTGTAAAGATAATACACTGCCCGTGTTGTCAAGTAATAGCCGCCTGTAATTAAATATAGCTGCCTTGCTATTTCGGACATAAACTTCCTCAACCTATCGAGTGTCACTGTCAGCTTTTAGGCAAAGGAAATGATTCAAACAGTCATTGCTTTACTTCAGCCTAGGCCTTGGCAATGCGGTGTTGTTTGCTGGCACATGCAGCTGTAGTGCAAGTGCAACCCACTGGCACTGCACTGACACTGCGGCACCAGTCCATGCAGTCCCTCCATGGCAACACTGCCGTAGCTAAGGAGACGCCCCCGCCCCCCCCCCCCTTCCCTCCATCCCAGCCGCATAATTATTTACCATAAAGCCACAGCTAGCTCACTGCAGTATGACAGACTCGTAGATCTTCGGGGGGGGGGGGGGGTGACAACTGACCTGCGGCAACGCTCAGACCTCATGGTCTGAGCTCCAGCGCTAATACACTCGGACGTAGATCTACGTCTCTTATCCGGGCACCTTGGGACCGGGCACTGCCCGTGTCTCAGATTTGCCCGTATCTCAGGATAACTCATCTACCATGTATCATTACCACTTTTTGAAGAAGTTTATTTGGAACGTATTGCACATGTTCAGGATACAAAAGGAACCCATTGATAAAAATGTGTGCATTACATAGGTTGGCAGTGAAAAATAAGCACTACCGAATACGGAAAAAGTTCAAAACCCCCAAATTCGAAGCATTTTTGCCATAGAAACTCAAGGTAAAGGTGCCCGGTAGAGAGACGTGCCCGTATCTGAGGCGTCCGGATAAGAGGCGTTTGAGTGTATTAGTAATAAACAAAAATACATGTCCCAGGCCACATTCAGGGGGCATAGGTGCTCTGCCATTATGATGTCCGTCCAAAGTCTCTGAGAAAAGCAGACTTTTTTTAAAAGTCTGCTTTTCTCAGAGACTTTGGAAGCAGGAAACCATGCAGCAGATTAAAAAAAATTATAACGAAATGGCCCAACTGATCCACCAGTTTGTGGCTACGTAATGTGGGCATGGCACCGTGCCAGAGCCATGTGCAAAGTGGCATAGTCTTGTGGTTATAATAGTCTTGGTATTACTCCATCAATCTGCGGACAGAACTGTTGGGCATTATCATGAAAGGGTTAATAAAATTGGAAATTGGAAAAATAATCTCAGACACTAACAACCATGATCATGGAGATGCTCAGTGAAAATAATGATCACCTATCAAGTATCAGACGATCCAAGCGATCACGCCGACACCATTCATGCACAGTTGTCATCGCTATCATGAACAAAATTAGTTATTAAAGTAAAATAACTTGGCAACCTTTCAATCCCTAGAAAACTACTTGGAAAAGAAGTCTGCAACCAGTATAGTATATATCAGCAGCAGCAGGAGGGTTACCATGGTTACATGTGCAAGGCAACTGCAGCATGACATGTGCTGGAATTTATGATAAATGTCAGAAAATATATTACCGTATGCAAAAATAGACGGGTGATCTAGTCTCGATTGCTTTACTATTCTATGAGTGAGAAACTCCTCGTAAAAATCTGCTGAATTTTGCAATCTCATTTAAAACGTCCGGCTACGGTCAAACTCTAGCACTAGCCGCAAACCTTAGATTCGCTGAAGACTTGCTGAAGATAGGCATTGCAGAACATTGCATTTGGGTCCAGCTTGCGTTTGAGTGCAACAAAGTCGCCCCATTTGGGATACAGGGTGCTGAGTTGGCGCTCAGTGAGCGTGTAGAACTTTGCCCAGTGCGGCCGCGGCTCTGCACCTAGTGCCATAAGGCGTTGGCCGACCTGGCCAAAGTACTCAGCCTTGCGGTTGTCTTGGCCATATAGGCCCAGTGTGACATGACAGCGGGGAGTTGCACCGTAGCCGTTACTCAGCCAGAACTTATCGCCAGACGCACATCGCACCTGAAGTCAAACAAGGGGGGGGGGGGGGGGTGCCATGCATGCAATTACAACAGGAGCTAAACCAGCAGCAAACATAACCTCTTGAAAGGAACTATGACCCACACCTGTACTCTTGGTAATACTTGAAGTACATGTTATGCAACTCAAACATACTACCACTTGTCATAGTACCACTTGTCATACTACCACTTGTCTGGTCCACACAAGTAGCTCAAGAGCGCCCCACTACCACCTCTCTTCTGTGGTTGTGTTTGGGAGGTGGTTTCCTGTCTGTAGGTCATACGACACGTACCTTGTACACACATTGCATGTTGTGCAGTCAATCTAAACTCAGCCTTTACCTCGGCGGGTGGATGCTAGCTCTACACAAGAACATGCTACGTGCCATCATACACAAGAACATGCTACGTGCCATCATACTTCACTGGTCAAGAACATGCTACGTGCCATCATACTTCACTGGTCAAGAACATGCTACGTGCCATCATACTTCACTGGTCAAGAACATGCTACGTGCCATCATACTTCACTGGTCAAGAACATGCTATGTGCCATCATACTTCACTAGGGTTCTCATCCTGTACAAACTCATTTGCAATCTGCCGTCACGGCGATATAACTGCCTGGCTGAAAAGTCAAGGTGGGATGCTCTGATTAGACAGGACGTTCTCGCGGTACTTTAACCAATTTACTGTAATAGGTGGTGCAAAACTCACCTCGTTGAACACACTGATGCCAATCCCAATCTCATCCACAAGCTTGTATACAGCTTCAATGGCTTGAGGGGTCTGTGCCAGCGGGACAGCAAACTCTGATTCAAGGTGCAGCGGTATATACTGCTGAATGGAAAGGGCCTTCGACCAGGTTTCAACACGCTCGCTGGGGCTGAACACACGCAGGTGGTGTATGAGAAAGCGCATTGTAGCCGGGATTATCGCAGGGTAGAGCATTGTGGAAAACTGAAATGCTTCAATGACATACGCCTGCAGTGAATACCAACAACAACAACAACAACAACAACAACAACAACAACAACAACAACAACAACAACAACAACAACAACAACAACAACAACACCAACACCAACACCAACACCAACACCAACAACAACAACAACAACAACAAAGAGAACAGAGTGTTCTAGCCTCCGTTTCTCAATCATGGTCCTAGACCATCCCACTATGCCTGCCTGCATGCATGGGACAGGGGATATACACTGAGCCGCTTGGAAAACGAGAAGAAAGTGATATCTTAGAGGTGGTGGTATAAACTATAAACTATAAATGCATTGAATCCCCTTCCTGCATCCCACCCACATAATGATTCCTGCATCCCACCCACATAATGATTCCTGCATCCCACCCACATAATGATTCCTGCATCCCACCCACATAATGATTCCTGCATCCCACCCACATAATGATTGCACATATGCACATGTTTATTTATACAATACCGGTAGTTGAACCAGGGTATAAGGGCGCGTTCAGACTACCGTGAACCCCGTCAAACCGTGAATGCCGATAAACTGTTAAGGACATTCACACTACCGATAACAAACTAACGTTACCGTGAAGTTTTCAGCTCTCACCGCGGCACTGACAAGGGATTTTCCCTTTTTTCCCAGCGCGCATGCAGCCTGAGCACTTTTTTACTGCCGGTAAAAGTTTACTGCCGCAGCAGCCGCGGCAGTAAAACTTTCCCACCGGTAACGTGCCAGTAACGTCACGTGATCAATTCACCTTGGCGACTTTCCCAATCGGTCACTTTTTATCGGTAGTCTGAACGCGCCCTAAGTAGTGAACATAAGCAGTCCAGATTGAAGATTATGAATGTTCAAAATTGAGCCAAAAAGAATGTGCTGTGATCAAGAATACTTCTCCTTACCCAGAAGTCTGCCTCCAGGCGAGTTGGACTGTTCCTGGGCTGTTCATGCGTACGATTGCTAGAAATAATCTGTACTGCCCCCGTGTGGTACTCGACGAGGATCTTGACATACTCCGACTCAGTCACGATATGCTCAAAGTTGCCCGCCAGCTCGGTGAGATGCATAACTGATGATCGCTCAGCCAGATTGTATGCTGGCCCTGTCTGTAGAGTGACCTGTGAGCACAGAACCACAACAACGCCAATGGCTGATGTATGCACGGGCAGAAGTTCTACGTCGGCCCATCGCACAGCACACAGGAAAGATGTATCAGACGACATTTCACACACCACATAGATACTAGCAGCTCATAGACTGAAAAGCTACCTGAGGATCAAGTTGGATCACTGCTTGATGGTCACACACATTGTCGAGAGTAAATAAGCTCCCAAGAGTGTGCAACTCTAGATAACCTTTCTATGGGTGCGCCAACTCACATCATCACATCATGTGGTGTAGTGGTCCCGTTCTACCTTGCCAGCCTGATTTTAGCAAGCAGTTGAGAAGTGAAAACCCAGTATGGCATGGATGGGTGAGCAAACCCAATTTCAAATATCAGTATAATTCACACACACACACACACACACACACACACACACACACACACACACACACACACACACACACACACACACACACACACACACACACACACACACACACACACACACACACACACACACACACACACACACACACACACACACACACACACACACACACACACACACACACACACACACACACACACACACACACACACACACACACACACACACACACACACACACACACACACACACACACACACACACACACACACACACACACACACACACACACACTTACACACACACACACACACACACACACACACACACACACACACCGACACACACACACACCGACACACACACACACACACACACATACACACACACATACACCGACACACACACACACACACACACACACACACACACCGTGCGAATGTACCTTAGTGAGAACGCCGAGCGAGCCAAGCCCAACTGTTGCGCCGTAAAAGATGTCTGGATTCTTCTCGGGACTAGCAGTCACCACCTTGAGAGGAAGAGAGAGAGAGAGAGAGAGAGAGAGAGAGAGAGAGAGAGAGAGAGAGAGAGAGTGTGTGAGAGGGAGAGAGAGAGAGATAGGAGAGGGGGGGGGGGGGGGTATATGCATACTATGCTCGCGCTCCTGTCTTTGTGCTGCATGCACGCGCACACATGTTGTGATGTCATGCGTACGCTATAATACTGATTGGATGCACGCATGCCCACCAGCTGTGATTTGAGCTGTTTTCAGTCTTCTTGTTGTTCTTGAGCTTGAGTCTCCACATTTAGTTTCGTCTCTCTTGTCATTCATATTCTAGGTAGTAGCAATAATAATTCAGAATCTATAACCAGTCTTTAGATTCATATCATGGCGCAGTGAACATTTCTTACCGTGCTTTGGCTCACCCGGGTGTGATCCGCCTAGACTAGTTGAATATATTTGTAGTTGAGTACTTCATTTCTTTTAGTTCATCATGAGTGATGCTGGAAGTACCCTGGACGGTGCTGCCCAACCTGCCTTGAGCTCAGATGTACTGGCTCTCATGACCTTGATGCAGCAACAAATGAAAGCTGCTGATGATCGCGAGGCCCGCCTGACAGCGCTACTCCGGAATCAGAGCACTCAACCTTCGTCTACTGGCAAACAAATCTCTGTGGAGCTGTCCTCTGCCACGCTTTCCGACCTCACCGCTTGGGAGGAAGCGTGGGATGACTACGCCCGATGCCAAAAACTGGCAAGCCAGGACACACAGACACAAGTTAGCGCCGTGCGACAAGCTCTTGACGAGGACCTTCGTAGGTACCTGAGGGAAGGAGTCATTCCTCTAGATCCCAATGCTGACGTGACAGCAGTGATTGCAGCCATCAAAAAGTACATTCGTCGCCAACGGAATCCCCTGCTGGACCGCATCGATTTCTACAATAGGCGTCAACATAAAGGCGAGTCCTTCGACAGTTTTTTCACTTGTCTGAAAGAATTGTTTAGCACCTGTGACTTTGCGGAATTACGTGTTTGTCGCATGTGCTCTGGGCGTATGTGTACTGACTGCCCCAAGATCCTAGTCACAGCTAACGAAAAGCTCCTTCGTCCTCTTTTTTGTCTTGCGTTGCAAGGGTACTGCTGAAGTTTATTTTGGTAAAAAAAATTCTTTCAAGTTAGTTAGTTTTTCATCATGGCACCAAGCGTGAGGTCCAGGTCCATGCCAAGGTCAAGGTCAGCAAGCACGGACGAGGTGGAGTTGAGGATGCGCTTGCTGGAACGCCAGGTCCTTCGGCTAAAAGGGGGGAAACGCCACCGGTCGGCCTCCCTCTCTTCCTCGTCGTCGTCGTCATCATCCAAGTCTTCGTCATCGTCCGACTCCTCATCGTCGCCAGAGCGCATCCTGGGGAAGAGGAGGAAATCAGTCAAGTCATCGGCGAGGAAACGCGAGAAGCCAGTACCTGGTAAGAGGCTGAACCGGTCCAGTTATCAGCACCAATATGACTGCATTACTATGGTAGCTGATCGCCTTGACCAGGCAAAAAAGTACGTGAAAGCTGGCAAGGCCAAGAAGGCGCTGAAGAATATCGCCAAGGCGCAGGCCAACTTGGAGGATAGGTTGGAGTGGCTGGTAATCGCGGACCGACCGCCACGGGCACGACACCGCCACCAGATATGCTGAGGGTGACGACCTGACAGAGCTGCTGTCCGACTCCGGCAAAAGGAAGCGCCTCCGGATGGCGTTGGAAGCGTCACGGACGAGTGCGAAGGCCCCGGTGATGGTGAAGGCCAAGCAGCCGCCTTTTCGGACCACCAGCGCTCCAAGATCAGCCGGCTCTTGGAGTGCTGGCCAGCAACCTAGCCAGGCTGCAGCAGCCGCAGTGCCAGCCCCCCCCCCCGGCAGGCCAGCAACCCGGCAGTCTACCTCAGTGCCACCCCCCCCCCCCCCCCCCGGCAGGCCAGCAACCCGGCAGTCTACTTCAGTGTGCCACCACTGTGGTGAAGCCGGGCACTTCGTCTGCTTCTGCCAAAAACTCCATAACGCAAAAAGCAAAGTTTCACGGTGTTGTTTTGAATGAGGATGATGTGATGTGGAAGATGAGTTTTCAAACTATCTCGTTGCTCAGTTAATGAAAGAAGAGGAAGGGGAAGGGGCAGGGCTGACTGATGTAGTGGTGGGCACTTGCAATATGGCTGCCCGCAGCCCACCCTGCACTTGTTATGGCTGATGTGAGGTATGAGAAAGAAGGCGAGTCCTTCGACAGTTTTTTCACTTGTCTGAAAGAATTGTTTAGCACCTGTGACTTTGCGGAATTACGTGTTTGTCGCACGTGCTCTGGGCGTATGTGTACTGACTGCCCCAAGATCCTAGTCACAGCTAACGAAGAGCTCCTTCGTGACCGGATCGTTGTCGGTGTCCTGGACGATGACACTCGGCACAAGCTGCTTTCCGAGCAGAACTTGACCCTTTCCAGCGCGGCCAAGATTTGTCGTGCAGAGGAAGCCGCCAAGCAGACCAGTGATGGAATGCTGACTATCGGCTCCTTTAAGGCTGCCGTCGCGAAAAAGTCTTCTTACCAGAAGCAAAAGTCTCAGTTCGGTGACAGAACCGCAACAGCCCAGTCACCCAAGAAGTGCATGAACTGTGATCGCAGCGCTCACACCAAGTCTTCCTGTCCTGCTGCAGGCAAGACATGTAATGGCTGCAAGGCGTCCGGCCATTTTGAAAAGATGTGCCGAAAGAAATCGCAGTCTGCGCACCGTAATGGCAAAATCGGCCAACTGAAGTTGCAGCAAGCATCGTCAGGAAACCAAGGGACCATGATTGTCCATGCTGTCCTGAATACGGAGACCACTGGTGCACCGATCGACTGGACACCCGACACCGGTAGTGACGTGGATGCCATCGGTTTACAGCATTTGGAATTGCTTGGTGGATTCCCCGAAAATCTTGCTACCGATTATGATGTAGTGACTGGTGTAAACGGTCAACGTCTTGAGTCTGCTGGCCAGATTCACTCCTCTCTCGCCATTGGAGCTAAGTCGTACGACACGACGATCCATGTCTACCCTGATCTGTCTGATGCTCTGTTGTCTCTGACTTCTTTGCTTGCGTTCGGTCTGCTTCCAGCCAACTGGCCTTCCATTTCCCGTGTGGAAATTCAACCAGCGCAAGACCGTACTGCTGACGAGATCCGTGCCGAACTGCTGCAAGAATTTGCAGATGTGTTCGATGATGGCCGTTTGAAACCCATGTCTGGCTCACCAATGGATATTGAGCTCCAAGCCGATGCTAAGCCAGCTTGCACGCATCATGCCAGTCCCCTTTGTCTTTCGTGACCAGATCAAGGACCAGCTGGACGGAATGGTGAAGGATGACATTATTGAACCAGTTTCCACACCGAGCGAATGGCGTCACCCGGTTGTGATTGTAGACAAAAAGGCACGTCTGAGAAGCGATTGACTGTCGACTTCAAGAAGTTGAATGACCAGATTCAACGCCCTGCTCATCCGATGCAACCACCACGAGACGTCGTTGCCAGCATCAGCGGTCGTTACTTCACGAAGCTTGATGCACGTCATGGATATTGGCAAGTCCCATTATGTGAATCTGCGCGCCCACTCACCACATTTATCACGCCGTGGGGCCGTTTCCGCTATTTGCGCAACCCACAAGGCTTGGTATCTGCCGGTGATGAGTATAAACGCCGTACTGACGGAGCATTCGACGGCATCACGAACTTCAAGAAAGTCGTGGACGACTGCCTTGTATATGACGATGACCTAAGCGACCACGTCTCACGCGTCCGCAGAGTACTGACATGTGCACGGGACAATGGCATCACACTCAGTGTGAAGAAGTTTGCATTTGCTGCTACCCAGATTGAGTTCTGCGGGTATCGCTTGAACGCCGACAGCTGGACTGTCGATGAAGCAAGACGTCAGCCATTCGCGACTTCTCCACGCCCAGTAACCGGACCGACCTCCGCTTGTTCTTGGGCCTGATGAATCAGTGTACAGAGTTCACCCTGTGTTTGGCTGAGCTGAGTGCCCCGTTACGTGGTCTGCTGAAGCATTCCACTGAGTTTCTATGGCATCACGACCACACTGCTGCTTTCAACGCCATCAAGGATGAGCTGGTATCCTTGACGACCATGTCTTATTTCCAAGTAGGATCCGAACTCCGTCTGGAAACGGATGCATCCAAACTGAAAGGTCTAGGCTTCGTCTTGTGGCAGGAACAAGACACCGGATGGGGCATCATCCAGTGTGGCAGTTGATATCTCAGTGACACAGAGTCCCGCTACGCAGTGATCGAGCTCGAACTCCTGGCCATCGTGTGGGATGTCAAGAAGTGCAAGCTGTTCTGTCTGGCACCCAGTTTCGTGTCATCACTGATCACCGCTCATTGGTACCCATTATCAATGCGTACTCATTTGATCAAATTGAGAACCCACGTTTGCTCAGAATGATGCTCAAGCTCCAGTCGTTCCACTATGTGCTGAGTGGCGGAAAGGTGCTGACAACGCCTTTGCCGATGCATTGTCTCGGAACCAAGTTGACCTCCTTTCCCTGATGGACCAGTATGGTGAAGCCCCCGCATTGGCTAACCTTGGCATCCATGCCTGTCTCCGTCGTGATGAGGATGGGCTGATCACTGACCTCCGGTTCCAAGCCATCCATGATGCTGCTGTCGCTGACTCTGACTATCAGCTACTGCTCCAGCACGTCCAAGGTGGATTCCCCAATGATCAGCGTGATTTGCCTGGTGCTCTGCGTTCATTCTGGAACGGACGAGAGCACCTATCAGTGGCCAACGGTATTGTCTTGAAAGGTCAACGGATCGTTGTGCCCGTGTCCCTCCGTCAACATGATTGTTCTCCAAGATCTCCACGCCTCCCACCAGGGAATTGTACGTACCAAGGCTAGAGCACGGCAGGTGGTGTATTGGCCCAAGTTGAGCCAAGATCTGGAGACACTGATCCGCGCATGCCCTACGTGTCGGGAACGCCAGGCATCCCTCCCGAGGGAACCGCTGCTCAACGATCGTCATCCGACTCTGCCATTTGAGCACACCAGCGCAGATCAATAAACTTTCCAAGGCCGTGAGTTTCTTGTCTATGTAGATCGCCTCTCCGGATGGCCATGCCTCGCACCGACCGGTACCACGACGTCCTCACACGATGTGATCGTCCATTTGCGCCGTTGGTTCCCAGATGTTGGTGTGCCGTCTGTTCTGTGCACTGATGGTGGCCCCCAGTTTGCGTCCCATCAATTTGCCGAGTTCTGTCGCCGCTGGCAGATTTCCCATGTTATGTCTACACCGCGCTTCCCTCAGAGCAATGGTCACGCAGAGGCTGGTGTAAAGGTGATGAAGACACTTGTTCATAAAACGACCACCAATGGCCGCCTTGATGTGGACGAATTCCAACGCGGGCTGTTAGAATGGCGTAACACTCCGAGGTCTGATGGCATCAGCCCCACACAAAAGGTGTATGGCCGACCTCTGTCGTCGTTTGTGCTTGCTCAGCACCGTAGCTTCTCGTCCGAATGGCAGACCCTCGCCGACGACACAGATGCAGCGCCTCCGTCTGCTCCGGCTCAATTCGATGTCTCTGCTCGCCCGTTGTCCGAGCTCCGTATCGGCACCCATGTGGACGTACAGGACCGCCGGTCGAATCTGTGGTGCAAGCATGATGTTATTGTTGGTGTTGGTCGTCACCGTGATTACTACGTGAAGTCAACTAGTGGAAGAGTGTACTGGAGTAACCGGCGTTTTTTCCCCCCGTTCATTCCCCTTGTGCCTGCTACCCCTGATGGTACTGTGCCTGCCAATCCACCTGCTGATCAACCTACTCCTGTAGCTCCACGTCGCAGCACTCGCAACCGCCGTGCTACTGACCGTTTGGACATTTCTTCCACAAAAGGACAGTCATATGTTTGATTTCTGTCGTATTTCTACTGCTTCCGTGTTCTTGCAGTCTCGTATTTATTTATTTGATTTTTCTTGTTAGATCATACTGTTCTCGTTATCCAGTATAATCTCGAAGGGGCGTGTGATGTACAGTCGAATGTCACTTATCCGACCACTTCGGGAATCAGGCATGTTGGATAACTGGATAACTGATATCATTTTTTATGTGCATATATGGCTGGATTTCACAATCACTGATTTATGTACTCAATACCCAAAATTCATGCATATTCATGAATTGCTCCATGTACACATACATGTTAGCATACTTGACCACATCTATTTCAAGTAAATGCATATTACACCGTATACTGTAGAAGCAGAAATTTTCGGTGGTGTGATATTTTCGGTATTCTCCAAAATCGACGGTTAGGAAGAGGGAAATTTTCGGTAAAATCCGTTTTCCAGGTAGGTGTACTAGTACTACATGTATACAGTATCGGTTGTACCGAAGAGTTCGGTGCGTTTTATTATCGGTAAAAATTGTCGGGACCGAAGTTACCAAAAATAAAACACCACCGAAAATTTCTGCTTTTACAGTAATACACAAAAAAAAAATTTTTTAGAATTTTACTGTTGAGAGTCATAAAATTACCACTCCCGGGCTTGTCGGATAACCGACGTGCTCGGATAACTGGCGACCGGATAAGTGACATTCGACTGTATGCATACTACGCTCGTGCTCCTGTCTTTGTGCTGCATGCACGCGCACACATGTTGTGATGTCATGCGTACACTATAATACTGATTGGATGCATGCATGCCCACCAGCTGTGATTTGAGCTGTTTTCAGTCTTCTTGTTGTTCTTGAGCTTGAGTCTCCACATTTAGTTTCGTCTCTCTTGTCATTCATATTCTAGGTAGTAGCAATAATACTAGGGGTCAAAGGGGTGTACCGGGTACCCGGGTACCCGACCGTTAATCTCAGGTACCGTTAGTAAAAGGGTACCCGTTTGGATTTTGATGAACCAGTCGGTACGGAGCAACACTGCTGGGATCGTGTATTCCAGGCGGGAGTCAATTATTTACAACTACACGCTGGATGTCTGCATTGTTGTTGCATTTTCGCACCTAGTAGATCTACTCCTGCGACTATCAGACACCAATCAATTTGCGAATCACAATGTGATATCAAAATGCAACCCGAGAACAGATGAATTAAAATCTTGATTTATGTGAAAATTGCGCAAAAATTAAACATGGCTGCTAAAGGGTACCCGTTAACCCGCCCGTTAAGAAAATTACCCGTTCATTAGTTAAAGGTACAGTAAAACGTGTAAGTAAAGACCGGCACCGTGACTAAAGACCGGCACCGTGACTAGCGACCACCGTGACTAGCGACCAGCCTGGTACTACCGACCACTTCGCCATGCACGGGCAGTCTCACATTCAAAATGCACTGTGACTAGCGACTACCTGCTGAACGCGACCGGCGACCGCCTTTCCTTGTCCCAAAGACGATTTTTGACCCGTAACTAGCGACCGCGATGTAGGAAATCAAATGTTGCTCGAAGCTCCTTCTTGAAATTTTGATGATTTCCGTGGTCCTGAAAGTGAAAGGCATCTTTCGATACTACAGCTGAAGAAATGAACGCAGGTCATTTTTGACTGTGGAGTCGGTGTGGACTTCACTACACCTGTCAGAATTTCAAGCGCTGTCAAGAATAAACATGATAGGAAACGTCTTGGAGAGCGTATCTAAAGCGCTCTCTGATCGATGTTACTACTCGGAGGAGAAACGAAGACTGAGCGGCTCTGTCACCCCAGTCATACAGACGAATCGACGATTGCATCAAGGAATCCAGAAACAAAGCAGCACCGCAAGGTCCTGATGCTGGAGAACCGCATTCAAGCAATTGAGAAGTCGCAACAAGGACAGTCGGTACGATTGATCGCATGAACAAATTTGAAGCCCAGCGCAAAACGAAACTTCCACAGGGAACGTTCGACTCCTGGCTTCAGAAGTAGGAGCTGAATTTGATGTCCGCAAAAAAAAATCTTCTCTCTCTCTCTGTCTCTCTCCATCTCTCCGTTCTCTCCAAGTGTTGTTTGACCTGAAATAAGGATGGCATTGCGCAAGTCTTGGGGAATTGTATTAGCTGCATTTTGATATACATATCATATAATGGGATCCATATATGGTCGCGCGGTGCAAACCTCTAACTAAAGACCACCTGCTACTAAAGACCGCTTTTGCTGGCACCAAGGGGTGGTCGGTAGTCACAGGTTTTACTGTACACCCGTTTGACCCCTAAATAATACTTCGAAGTAATTCAGAATCTATAACCAGTCTTTAGATTCATATCAGGGGGGAGAGCTAGTTAGGCAGTTGACAACTGGATCAGTTCCAAAGCACCACTACTACGAATTCCATACCATATAAGCAGATACCTACTTGAAGAAAAGGAGTTCAAGTATCCATGGGGCTATGGTAATGGACTACAGGAGTTCAAGTATCCATGGGGCTATCAGGGATGAATTCATCCTGTATCGCATTGCAGTTTGCGATGCAAAATCGATCTACTGCTACTCAAAAGTCCCCGTGACTCGCAGAAAACTGCGATACATACAGACTATCCATGCCTAGCCTGTGCTATCAAGTAACATGCATGCTGTGCAGTGTATGTGGTGCAGGCAAATCTGCGTGCACATGTACATGTATGATTCAGTCGGGTTTTTTTGCAAATGGGCTTTCAGGCATTACTCTCAAGAAGGACAATGTGGTAAACACCCAACCTTCAAAGAAAAGTGCTAATCAAAATCAAAGCTTGCTACACAATTGTGATTTTGTATAGCAGAAACTGCTATGCAAAAATATGACATAAATTCATCCCTGGGCTATGGTAATGGACTACAAGAGTTCAAGTATCCATGGGGCTATGGTAATGGACTACAGGAGGTGTACCGTCTACTTTTATCAAAACACCCAACACACCAAATGCAAGCACATGGGAAAAGAGCTGATGATTACCTCTCCGTCCGGGGTGACAAGTTCAATTTCTCGGACCAATGATGCCACACTGCTGTGCTTGGTACCACATCCATGCGATCCTGTTATGCAGTACACATACACACACACACACACACACACACACACACACACACACACACACACACACACACACACACACACACACACACACACACACACATACACACATGCACACATACACACATACACACACATACACACACACACACACACACACGCTCACACATACACGCATAGACTGAATCATGGGGCTAATATTTCCTTTTTAAATTATTTACTTTCGCGGCAGACACATGCATGCTACACACTGTGTAAGCAGGGGCGGATCCAGGAGGGGTTCCGTGGAACCCCCTAAATTTTCGTAAATGTACTACTGGCAACCATATGCGTGCCCATGTACATGTATCAGCAAATTAGCTTTGACTATACCCCCTGTAGAGATCGCTGGATCCGCCGCTGGTAAGTGTGTATGAATAGTGGACACATGGCTTACCTGCAGCTACTATTCCCCCAATGGTCGGTTCAAACACAGTGGGCATGACATCAAGTGCCAGACGGTGCTGGTCTAAGATGGAAATGAGCTGCTCAAGGGACGTGCCAGCCAGCACTGTCACCAGGTGACTGTCACTGTCCACGCGTACCAGTCCGGAGTAACACCTCATGCACACTAGGACACTACCATTGTTGTGCATCTCCATATCATCAGCAGTACCGCCGACGTCAGGATTGGGAACGGCGATACTAGAATAAGAATGCCCCGATCCGACAATAGTCAGGCGTTTTCTTTGCAACCGGGCCATGTTCACTGCAGCTACAACCTCGGCCAGTGAGCTTGGACGTAGCACCACGGGAGAATCGAACGCATGACGCTGTTCTGTGCAAACGGGAAATCAAAAACAGAGACCAAGAAAGGATCGGTTTAGTGCATGCTGAAAGGCAGGTTGCCACCAGGGAGTCGTAACATTGTACGACTCCCTGCCACCCTGCCACCAGGGAGTCGTAACATGTTAAGACTCCCTGGTGGCTACGTAAGATGAAGAGACATTTTGCAGGAGTCCGAGTGAGCTCAAGACGAGCGCAGATTGCAGTAGAGCTTGAGTGCTTGTTTCACTCATGAACGCAGGCTGGTATTTCTGTGTGCGAGAATCGCAGCGTTCGTAATCCTAGTAATAAAAGGTTAAAACTCAAGTTGACTACTGTTTGGGGGTGCTGCTTTGCTGTCCAAAAATGCATTCGGTTGTGTCGCTCTCGAGCGATGCCCAATGTCAATGTCAATGTCAATGTGCCCGTATTCAGTAGTTGTGTTGTCTGCCAATCCAATATCTCCATATTCGGTAGTTGGTCCCATAGTAAGGTAAGAGTGTCGCCCCAGCGCCCCAGTCTCCTGTCTATCTTATTTGGAAAACTCCAATGTGTACGGGCTAGCGGGCCGGGATATCTATATTTGGTATAGCCCATACTTTGCGAAGCCTCAGGTTCCTCAGTAACAGCACACATCCCCCGTACTGTTGCGTGCAAATGAGTTTTAAAAGCATGCCCGATTCGTCACAATAAAATCATTTCACAGGACGCCGACCAGACGCAACCCCCTCCCCCCACACACACAGACTAGTCACAAACTCAGGCTAATCAATCGTCAGTGAGTTATCAAGCCTCCTTGATGTGTACAGGCTTCAAATTGACATGGTAATGCATTTGGACAGTTGGTAATATCACCTCTGAAAGTATCCCTGTCTTTGTTTGTGTCAGATGATACTACAGTTGGTGCCGGGGACGCAGTCGTGTTCAATGATGAGGAACGCGGTAAAAAAGAGTGGCACACGGGTGCATGTAGCAGTGACCAGTGACTAGTACTTGTTTGTCATGGAAAAAGAAGTACACTCATACCTCGGTTATCCGGACCTCGAAGTTACGGGCACTTCGGTCTACCGGGCACTATTTGGGCGAGTTTCAGGGGAAATATTACTACTCTTTTGTCACTTTTCGTAGAAATATTGACGTCATATGCCATATCGATGGCCTTTTCCCCATCAAGATGTATATGATTCGGAGTTACGGACATTTCAAAGTTACGGGCAGTGCAAGGTCCCGGACTGCCCGGATTAACGAGGTATGAGTGTATGTGGATATTCGGCACCATTCTCAAAATAAACAAAAGAAAAAAATTCTGTCAGAACACGAGTACATCTTTGATCAAAGAGTTCTGACCTCCCAGCATAGGGACGGTGCCACGAAGCAAGATGAGAACTGGCGTGTATTTTTGTGTTTTGAAATTGTTCTTGTTTTTCGCAGCGCAGCCCCAATATGCAATGCGCATGCTGTAGAATCCCGCGGAAATGCCTACCCGCGTATAAGCCCAGGGAAAGTTCGAACATCACAAGGCTTCGTCGTACAAGCCCATGGGCCTAATTCGTACCAAGAGTCCATAAATTATGGACTCTTGGTCATACCATGTACATGTACGTAGAACATGTAGGGTTATTTTTGTACATTTCAACACAATCATCGGTTGTTTTTGTTTGCACAGTGGCTTTCAGCAATGTACTAGTACTTCTCACTTCCTTGGTACTTTTCAATAGCACAATGTTGGTGTCAGCGTATAAGCCCATGTTCTGGTACAAGCCCACCGAAATGTCCTTGTGTAACAGATAAGCCCATGGGTTTATCCGCGGGATTCAACGGTATGCTACAAGAGTCGGATGTATCTAGCCGCAAGTATTACTCACACAGGCAACACTGCACTTTCCTTATTTACAAGTGTTAGCCCCATGCTCAGCAGCTAGATTATGCACAGCTGTTTCACGTGAACGTGAACAGACTGTAGTCGTGTAGATAAGGGGATTATTACAAAGACTACCATTGATTGTAATTTTGTATTGGGGATAAATAAGTGAGTGTTACTGAAAGAGATCACCAAATGGTTGGGCACAGTGTCCGCAAAGTGTCTTGAGTACACTCACCCCAGTTCAGCACAGGACAACATCCATCAAAGCGATCGCGGCTCAGAAGGCCAGAAAACAGGGCAGCCAGGCCCACAATGACCACACTCGCAACTGGCAGCCAGCAGGATGCCATTCTCGTGCCTTGGACAGCAGCTGCAACCAGTACAGGGCCAGGAGTAGAAGAAACAGAGGAAACCTACAGGCTACACGTGCTGCCAATCACCACGTACATCAACTACATGTGTGTATATACGTATGTTCAAGATATAAATCCGAAATTTTTGAAACCAGAATTGTACTCGTACAATCGTTTGGTCCTGAGTCACACTAATAATAATAATAAAGTAATTTTTTGGAGTAGCTACGTAGACCTACTACAAAGTTGATTGCTAGCGGATCATTCTGGCTTTCGCATCCTCCCCCAAACTGCCGAAGCAACGATTATCCTAGCCTGGTCGACTCTTGCTTCGGCTTTGCGGATTGCGGACAAGAGTCTTTCCACAAGACTTTAATAGTAACGTAAAAAAGTCGTTACAATGGGGGGGGGGGGGGGGGGTTGTACGACTCCTTGTTGGAAGGCAGCTAGCTAGCTACATGACTGTACAAGTAATTTGTAGTTATACTTATAAAGTTATCATGGTTATAGGTAGCCGCTGAATGACTTCCGGACGATATCGGCCGGAGCTGAGGCGCTACCTTTTGGCGGAAGGTCACCACTGCACCAGTGTCGCTGCTGAATGATTCAGTATCCTGTGGCGGACCACTAGCACTCGTGCACTGTCTGGCCTGGTGCAGTGGTGGTGGTGGTGGTGGTGTTATACTTACTTATCCTATTTAATTTTTAGTGGGAACCCACCACGTACCAGTGATCTGGTGATGGACAGTCTAGTCCCCAGCGCCAGATCAGCCGATTTTATGGAACAGCGGCACCAGCGTTCGGAAATGGGAGCTCCAGAGTCAATGCCCCGGCTTACACTCAGTGACTGGCAGACTCAGTGGAATGAAAGAGGAGGAAGAGTAGCGGCTCGGAAAGAGATACTTATAGCAAGAGTACATAACCCCCCGGGGGTTATGTACTCTTGCTTATAGCCATAAACTGAGTCTGTGCACGCTCTACTAGAACTGCAGTGTCATGCACATCATCATCATCATGACCGAGTGTAGATATCCACACTGTGGACCACAGCCTTGGGCAGTAACACGGTGTACCGGTAATCATGGTAATGTGTGTAGTCTGCTCTCTCTCCGCTCTCTCATCCCATTATTGCCGTCCCGGCGTACACCATGGTACACGTGGTCGATTGTAGAGGATATTTAATTAAAGCTACCTTTACTCATTACTCAGTAGTTAGCACAGGTTACCATTCAAACGACGAGAAGGTCCCCAAACCAAAGCCATCATCGTGATTCGTCATCACTGTCAAGTAAAGTGTTGTGTCCAGTTCTCACGAGTCGCGTTGTGCCACTGTGACGATAATAGTTGACAACCAGGGAGTAACGATACCATACAATAGTTTACTACACGTACTCCCTATAATGTTGACAACTGTCTCGATCTCTGAAAGACAGGCGGGTGTGCAAAAATGTTCGCACAAGACGCTACACAGACTCAAGTAGTTGCTAAGTTGGTGACCGCTTGCTGCAATGACATGTACAAGTACATGTCATTGTATACCAAGGGCAAGGCAGCAAGCGGTCACCAACTGGCTGACTTTTGCCCCCCTTGCCCATGATGGTTTTTCTTCTTCTCCAAGTCATGGGATGGGTTGGCCTTGAGAATACAGCTAGCCAGTGTCTGCTCTAGGATTGTAGGACAGCCAGGTACACGTGTACCTGGCGCAACCATTTCAACCGGGTCGGAGCCGGGTACACATGTACCTGGCGCTGTCTCACCAGCCGAGTCATAATTATGCTTTAACTGGTTGGTTGGTTTATTTTAATTCGGACAATAAACGAGAACTAGGCCCAATGATATAAAGGCGAATGGATAAGCCGCATTTAGAAAAGAGAGGACAGGAATTAGAAAATTACGAAAGAAGAAGAAGTATCTGACACATACAAGCAAGACTACATAAACCTGGTTTATGTACTCTTGATACAAGACATGCAGTTAGTCCTTTCAAAGTTCGAAAGTGTTAAGTACCAACCGGGTCACAGGTGACCCGGTACTATCTTTTCAACCGGGTCCAAGCGCCGCCCAACCGGGTGGATTACCCGGCTCACCCGGCGCTGGAGCAGACACTGCTAGCTAGCTAGCAACCTGTCCCGCTACCATGGCTACCCCTACGTGTGCCGCGAGTGGAGCAAGTTGTAGTTGTTAGTTTCACTGTTACCCGGTATACCCCGTACCCATGCTCTCCCACCATCACCGGCATGCAGCACCGGTGGTTTCCCGTCATTTCGCCATAATGCAGCGTGGGACATCACAGCATCTCTCCTCAAGTCACGAGTGACCAACAACGTGGCTGTTGAGCCCTACGCACAGCCTTCGTCTGGTGAGCAGCTTCAGTCTGCAGCACCTCAGCTCTTCTACCCGGACTTCAGGTCATGTCAGGCTTGACGTTCCTCCTCTCTTGCTGCTTCAAAGTTCAAGTGCTACTAGCGTCACGACCGGGAAAAGCGCTCATCTTCGTTGCCCTTTCCGCCCCCTGCACCTGGCCCTGCACTGCAGAGTGAAGGCCTTGGACCTCCCACCGGTACCAGAAACCACTGCACTGATAACCAGGGAGTCGTAAAATACCTGCTCCCTGCTGATAACCATGCCTGCACCCGTTGCTGTACGCACAGACTCAGTACAGACGCGTTACGTACACATCAGGGAGTCGTAAAAATCGTATGTATTTTACTCCATCAACCTTGGCAGTGAGGCGGGTGCGTCCAGCTGGCTCACGTGTCGCCCCCTCAGTCGGCATGGGTTCAGCTTGTCAAAATGTGAATTTCGCGATGGTCTGGCATTGCGGTATGGCTGGCACCCTGCACGGCTCCCTTCTATTTGTGTCTGTGGTGCCACCTTCTCTGTTGAGCATGCTTTCTCTTGCCCCACTGGTGGTTTCCCGACGCTTCGCCACAATGAGGTACGGGACATCATCGCTGGCCAACTGAAGAAGGTGGCACACAGCGTAGAAGTAGAGCCTCATCTCCAACCCCTCACCGGCGAGCTTTTCCGCTACCGGACGGCGTCCACCGAGGATCAAGCCCGTCTGGATGTGGCGGCGAGTGGCGTGTGGGGAGGACGGTTTGAACGCGTTTATCTTGATGTACGGGTGTTTAACCCTTTCGCTCCTTCAAACCGTTCCTCTTCTCTCGCTGCTCGCTACCAGAGCCATGAGCGAGAGAAGCGTCGCAGGTATGGTCAGAGGGTGCAAGAAGTTGAGCGAGCCTCCTTCGTACCTGTCGTATTCTCAGCCACAGGTGGAGCCGGTCGAGCTGCTTCCGCTCTTCTCAAGCGAATTGCTGCTCTGTCTGCAGAGAAATCCGGAGAGCCATACGCAATGGTGATGGCGTTGCTGCGTTGTCGTCTTGGTTTTGGTCTCCTGCGTGCCAGTGTTGCCTGCCTTCGCGGTGCCCAGCGGATGCGCCGCGTCAATGATCAGTCTGCTGTCCTCGCAAACGCGGAGGCTGCATTGATTTAACTTTCTTTGCAACTCCTGCAGTCTAGGTACTGAGTATCATTGTTATCCTCTGTGTGTGTGTGTGTGTATGTGTGTATGCGTGAGTCAACAGCTTTGATAAAGTTATTGTGTTTACCCCTCTTATTTTCTCATCTTTGTGGTGCTTTTAATTATTTTTTAATCTTGCCCGTAAAAGAGGCTGTATACAGTGTTATAAAATATAAAAAAATATAAAAATAAATCGTATGTATTTTACGACTCCCTAGGCCCTGCAGGCCTGGTAGATCTACACATTATTATGTACATGTACATAATATGTACGCATATCGCGCATGTCAATCGTTGTCTAAAACATTTTGTTTTTTGAATTTTTTTTCATCAAATTTTGATGAAAGACTGTGCATAATGTCAATGATTATGTGTGCAGAATGATACCAAGAGTACATAACCCCCCGGGGTTATGTACTCTTGATGATACTAGTAATGATTATGTTCAAACATGTATAAAATGCTGAAAATATGTAGAGCACCTATCCTGTACCCTATTGGTCAAAAGAGTCGGGTGCGTTTCGTTGGATTGAGCTAAAGTAAAGATAGTATTCTCTACTCATGGATCGTCTAACGTGGTGCGACGAGTCGCTCCTGCCGGGAGAAGTTCACATTTTGCAACAAGCGTCAGTACGAATTTACGATGGGGAAGATAGGGTGAGAAAAATAGAATTCAAGGGAGTTACAAACTGCTTCACAGCTAGTTAGTGGGCAATGTCTTGTTCAGAACTGGGTCAGTGGGTGCTTGTTTTGCTCAGGTTCCCAGCATGCATGACCTACTACCGGTATAGTTATACTGCAGTTCAATCGTATGTTACAAGCGTCCTGCATATATTGTGTTTTGCACATCCTCATTGGGCAAGTCCTGTTGCATTGCATGTAGCTGTCTGTATGGTTAGGGCAGCAGGTGGTCAGGTGGTCCGTGTGCTATAGTGAATGTAGGTTCCATACCAGAAGTCATCCCTTTAAAATGTTTTCTGCCGTACATATCTACCTCCTGTGATTGTTATTACAGTCAGGCCTCATTTGTCCGGTCCTCTTTAATCTGGATCACTCACTATCCGGAAGAAAATCGCTGGTAACCATGGTAACCGACCTACAGCATACTACTATGTGACACGTACAACATAACCGGAGCTCACAATCTGCATACCGTTGCGGGTGCTAGGGGTGCGCGGATTATTCCCGGAATAATTTGGGAATACTATCGTTGAGAAAATTTTGGGAATTTTAGGGGAATTCTATCGATCTTTTGCCAGATCCATTGACCTTCAGAAGAGTTTTGGGGGAATTCTGTCAATTTTGACCTGCCAGGGGCCAGAGAACAGAGAACAAGCGCGCATCCATGGACGCAGCCTGAGTAGATCATAGTAGCTGTGTACAGTCATGTAGATCTAGTACATGTACATGTAGTGTAGATCCTGCATGCAGTGATCACGTGCCTGACCGTCCATTTTGCATACTAAAGAGCATGCGCAAGGCACGGTTCGTGCTGGGGTTCTTTTTTTGGGGGGGAATTCTGGAGAATTTTTTCGATGTTTGGGAGAGTACTTTCGAAGTTCCGCGGGAAATGCCCGAAAGCATAATATCGGGTGCGTGCGAGCATAATCCGCGCACCCCTAGCGGGTGCAGGGTTTTGTATCAATGCATCACACTGGTGCGAAGTTTTCCACCTCCGAGGCTCTGCCCCTGCGCAAGCCATATCTATTCTTATACCATGGTACAGTACGGAGGGCCTGTTTTCAGCCAATCAGCGCTCGTCTAGCAATGGTTATATTGGCCAGTATAAATCCCACGCGGGATTTATATCGAATATAAATCCCGGTGCACGGTACGTACGCTAGGGCATTGCCACCGTACATGTTCACTGCCTTTCAGGCAGTGAACTTGTACGGCGGCAGTACTCCAGCGCACGGACCATTCACAACAGACACAATAGACACTACATGCACGTGTACACTCCACACAGAACGGCATTACTGACAAGGAACAGCACACAATGGAAAAAAAGAATGACCTGGAATTCGTCTACAGAGTATTCTATTATACTGAATCTGAGGATAAAGAACGTCGAATAACCACGAAGTATCCCGAATGGGTCAGCAATGTACATTGTACTTCGAAGAGTTGAAGATCATAAACAGACTGTCTCGTTCGTAACAAAGTTTATGATACAGAGTGTACTTCAAAGTTCAAACCGATTGGAAAATGCTGGATTGGATTGAAATGTGACACAGTGATACAAAGCAGGGTATGCAAATGCATTTACTTGCAAGTAAGCAAACTGATTATAAGATGCCGCATGTGAAATCAGCACTGTACCATAATTATAGTAACACTTTACTCCCAAAGAGTCCAAACTGTAGTCTAACTGGTGACAGTAGTTTGATTCAATGACAGCTCCAGCACCCCAGAAATTCAGTTGACTTCCGCACCGCTCACGAGACAAGATCATGAATATGCTACAATATGCACTGGAACTGAAAGGAAATCTTATGCCTAACATCCATGGAGGAATCTCCTTCTGATCTTGCTCGACCATTCTTTCAATTGACAACTGATAACCATCAGAAGATGTTCATGTACTGCATGATGTAGAAGATCTCCCAATAGGTTCGTTGTTCTGGAAATGCGTAGGGGTACCTGGCATAAGTAGGATATGACCCTTGTAGTCTGGTTATACCGTACCCTCATATAAATCCCTCCTGCTATCGCAGTCGGGATTTATATTCAGCTGGTATAACCCTCTGACTCGGGTTATATCCTCTACATCTGTGGTGTCTTCTGCCAGCTACACTGCAGATACAAGATGGGTACGAAACCCCATACATGTAGTTAGTACATGCGTTATACAAATGGACACATTCGACATCTGTCACTGTTCTTCACGGTGTACTGCATCGGCACGGGTACTTGTATCGAACTCTTCTTCGTCGCTTGTTGTTTTCTTTAGACATCATTTGAAGCCGGTGCTCTACAGCTGACGTCACATCGTGTGATCTGGGATGACCAAGATCAAGATGGGCGAACACTGTGTCTCCATCACTCATTCATTATGAGACTGGAAGATGTGCGTGGATCACTGACGAAAAGGTACATGCGACCAGTGTACCCACCTCTAATAGCTCTATGCATCTACACACTCACACACACACATGCACACAAACACACACACACAAACACACACAAACACGCACACACACACAAACACACACACAGACCTCAGACCTCAGACATGCCTATCGTGGAAGCGATGATAGCGAACAGCTATGTTAGACATACTTGTGCTGGGATTACACCATTCAACAGCTTGCAAGGCTGATGAATTGACTGCCACTAATTTTCAGCCTGGAATCCACCGCACAGCTGATTGAAGTGGCTTTTTTCTGACCAGTGAATCCCTATTTTACATATTTCTTTTTTACACACACACACGCCACACCACATACTCCGGCATACACTGGCTGTTGGTAACCACCCAGGAGAATGAAAGAACAGCTTGGAGAATGAGAAAGAGAAGAAAGACGTGTGCGACCACAATCGTCGAGAATCCGCCACCTCTCGATTGGAAATCGACTGCACATACCACTGCACCATACAGGACACACACACATGCACACACACACACACACACACACACACGCACACACACACACACACCACACACATACACACACACCATGTACCACACACACACACACACACACACACACACACACACACACACACACACACACACACACACACACACACACACACACACACACACACACACACACACACACACACACACACACACACACACACACACACACACACACACACACACACACACACACACACACACACACACACACACACACACACACACACACACACACACACATAGGTTACCACTTAAATGCTAATGTAGGTGTCAGCTGTCGTAAAAACACTATTTGCATTTGTTGTTGATTTTATTTCTCTCCTTGTTCACGAGTTGCTTTTTGCCTTTCACAATGTCATGCACTTGTAGCAACAAGATAGCAGCTTTCTTGCAGCCAGCACCGTCATCACGTGATGTTAGCCAAGCAGTGATGATGGCCAGCCGGCACAATTTTGTCCGTTTCTCGTTTCGCAAGGGTGGTCAGTCAGAGGTTAGTTGTCATGCTGCGTCTGTTTACATGTATATGTGTACATGCACGAGTGTGTGTCTGCATGTGTCTCTGTTTGCATGTCTGTCTGTGTCTATGGGGGGGGGGGTATTTTTATGTGTATATATATGTGTGTGTGTGTGTGTGTGTGTGTGCGTGCATGTGTGTGTGTGTACGTGCATGCGTGTGTGTGCGTGCATGTACGTGCATGCATGCGTGTGTGTGCGTGTGTGTGTGTGGTGTGGTGTGTACATGCATGTGTGTGTGTGTGTGTGTGTGTGCGTGCATGTGTGTGTGTGTGTACGTGCATGCATGCGTATGTGTGTGTGTGTGTGTGTGTGTGTGTGTGTGTGTGTGTGTGTGTGTGTGGTGTGTACGTGCATGCATGTGTGTGTGTGGGGGGGGGGGGGGGGGGTGGGTGGGTGGTGTGTGTGTCACTGTGTGTGCCTATCAGCTTGATGCGGATGCTCTTGTTGTGATTCTTATAGCCGCCACTATCTACTGTATTCAGGATTGTTGTAAGTGTACATGTCCTATGGAAAATCAGAAAGCCTTTTCTTGCTGTTCTCTCCACTGCTGTTGCTACTAGTTTCTGTCAGGTTACCAGCAGCAGCTGTCCAAGAAGCTATGGGAGCTACCTCAAATCAAGGCCCTGCCGTCCAAGCCCGTGGCGCAGGCACGCACAGCACGTGTAAGCGAACGAATGTCCTGACAGTAGTACTGCACTGACACACTCTGTAGAAAACATGAAAGAAGTCTGAACATGCAGCATGCAGCATGCAGTATGCAGCATGCAGTATGCAGCATGCAGTATGCAGCATGCAGTATGCAGTATGCAGTATGGTATACCTGATTGCTAGTACCGTAAAATCCTGCCAGAGCGCCCCTACCTCCTCGACGCTTCAGGTGGGGAGGGGCGGATGGGCGAGTCCTACTTGCCGCATTCAGTGCTACATGAAAAAGTACTCACCCTACGAAAACTGTTCGTGCATCTCGTACACCGACCAAAGGTCAAGAGCCAGGAGTCGTACAGACCCGACAAAACGCAGGGTTTGTGCGATCCCTGGTCAAGAGGGTGGGCACTGTTGCGTACATTTCCAACGGGGTTGAGCACGCGTCTGCAGTGCAGTACGGCATCACAGACTGCGACAGAGTCATACGAGGATACAATCAATCACGTCCCTGACAAGAAGTCAGGGAGGGGCGGATGGGAGAGACGGGGCGCTCTGGTAGCGGGATTTTACGGTACTAGAAATACAGTACTGTGGGGTGCCGAAGAAGTGGGAGGTCAGCCTCGTAGCCTAGGCCCTTCTTATTGTTATGTGCAGCAGCAGCAGTCTATGCGTTATGTGCAGCAGCAGTCTATGCGCAGTGGATTCAGCAGTCTATGGGCAGTGGAGTCAGCAGTCTATGCGCAGTGGATTCAGCAGTCTATGCGCAGTGGATTCAGCAGTCTATGTGCAGTGGATTCACCGCCTGTATACCTGTATGCTGTGCTTGGTGAAATTCTAGCCTGTCCGTTCGTCGGCACCCGGCAGTATTGTAACTTGTAAGCCTCGTGTACCTTGTACAGATGCACGAAATCCCGTAGAATCTCGTAGAATCCCGTAGACCTGGTTGGTTGTTGAATGTGTAGGACCCTATTGTGTTTACTGTTATTTCCACTAAAAAACGGGCCCTGAAAGCATTTCTTACGAAAACATTTTTTGGCCAAAGATCTAGTTCTATACAAAGTATGAAGCTGGAAAGCGATTGTCTGCCATTGATAATTTGTCTAAGTTGGTCACATGCGCATGTATAGCACACAATGAACACCCAACCGGGCATGTACACACCTATGGCCCTAGTACAGAATTTTGTACATCTGTAAAACGTGCATAAGGACCTTGTGTCTTACATGTTTCAGTGCTGTGTAGATGGATGCGTACGTGTATACAGTACAACTATACGTGTGCATACACACCTATCACCAGCGTCATGTGCCCATGCTGTGTATTTAGAAACCTTGAAAGAGAACGGATTGTCAGCTTGTCACGCTAGTTTTCCAAAAGGGCTGTTGAAAACTCCCATTAGAGAAATTCTGCTACAAAGTATTATGTAGCAAAAACTAGGGGTGAAATGATTACATTTTTTGACTACTGAATAACCTAAACCTTTATCGATCGGTTATTGATTATTTTTCGATTATTTCTTCCACAGCTAAAAGCGGTATTAGAAGCTGAAAAATGCGAAAATTTAGAATGTTAAAATTGATCCTGTGCAGAAAAGAATTTTTTCTCGCACATCGGTCGATCTACAATCATACGTGTATAATCATGTATGCTGTATGCAAAATCGAGTAATTGAAACTTTTCGAATAATCGATCCGTTAGCTTGTAACAATTTCTATTTCGAGTATTCGGTATAATCGTTTCACCCCTACCAAAGACTACGTCCGTATGGATTCCGTATCGGAGTGTGAGGTACGGATTTTCATACAGATTTTTTTCTTTCCGTTCTCCGTATGGAACTGGCTTCACACTTCACATGAACTGGTCTCTGTATGAAAAGCTACGACTTTGAGCATGAACTGAGCGCGAATTGATCGATGTGCCATGTGGAGCTTCCATTTCCAAGATCTGTTTGTCTGTTGTCGACAACAAACAGTTTGTGCCTGTTGCTTTTTCTTTTTTCTTTCTTTTCTTGTTTTGATTGGTGACCCAAGTCTTTAATACCTTGGCTGATGTTGAGGTGACTCAGGTTTCTGTCTCAAAGAAAATTTGATTCATAGTCGTGGCTGATGTGCCTAATCTGAAAGAAGTGTTGCGACACGTCGAACCTTTCAAGCATGGGTCTGACGGCTTGAATTGAGGGAACTGACGAAAGTGGAGCTGTCTCTACGGGAAAAGAATTGGAAACACGACTAGCGGACCTTGCACTACGGTGGAGTAGATGCAGCTGCTTTCAAGATCACTGTGGAAATAAATAACGAAAAAGGATTGTGCTTGCAATGAAATACGCTGATAAAGGCATGTTGTTGAGGTATGTGAAGAGGGGATTCCCAATGTCAAATATTCTTCAAGAGGTGGGGCTGTCATGTCCTGATTTTCCGTGGTGAAGACAGATTTCTTCTTCTTCCTTTGGCTCCTGTAGAGGCACTTGTAACAGTTAGTTAGCTGTCCACTAGCACGCATCTGTGCACTAACAGCATACATGGCAGGAACAGTGTGTAACAGCAGTTTCATGTCCTTCTTGAAGTCCACAAATGCGCCCTGCTGGAGGATTTTACCAAATTCCCACCCGAATTCTAACTCGACTCATTTGAGTGTTGAACAGCTGCTCGTCATGGGCCAAGTGTGCAGCTCTATGAGGACCAAGAATGTGAGCACGCAGTTGGTAGCAGTCGGTAGGCTGGATCACCATACAAGCTGTGCATGGGCGACTCACCTGCGGGGGGGGGATTAGGGCGATTCAAGGTTTCTTGCAACTGGGGTACAGTAAGATCGGGCGCCGAAGAACACCTCGCCGAAGAACACCTCGCCGAAGAACACCCAGGCTGGAAAACCGGCAAAATTTAAGAACAGTCCAGGCTAGAATTATCAGATTTAAGAACACTTTTAAAAATTTACACGTAGATCTACATTGTACATGTATGGGAGGTGAGTACATTTCATGTACACGTGTAAACAGTAACTGCTACATGTACAGTCATTCCCATTTACGACACCCACTAGTTTAGAAGTACTACATTGCACTACATGTACATGACAAACGTCATGACGTCACTCGACTCGCCGCGCGCGTGTGAATAAGAACGGTCTGGCTAGAATCAAAAATTTAAGAACTTTCCTAGGCTGCGCTCGAGCCCCTGCGTTCTTCGGCGCCCGATCTTACTGTAGTTGACGAGAGTCCTTCAAGAGGCACGCGGCATGACGCCGGCCTTCGGCTGGTCTGAGACGGGTGAGCTTATCAAGCCATTGAGGACAACAACAGACTGAATTTGATAGAGTTCACTCAACTATCGCCAAAGGCTCGCCAGTCAGGTATTGACGCAGCTGGAGCAACTTCATGTTGGTGGATAGGGACTGCTGATCCACGCAGACCAACAACGCTGCTTTCCACTGTTCGAACTTCCGTTTGTTTCCATCAAAAGTGGAAATGGCGACCTTCTTCAGGCCCTTGGTCACATCTGAAGGCGGCTGCTGTACCAACGGAGTGGACCTATAACCGGCGTGCGGTGAATATGGCAGCTGGCAGGATGGCATTGAGGATGCTGAATATGACTGTTGTCCGTGCAACAATGCGGACGCTGAATACGGCAGACTATGACTGAGCTGTACCATGTGGCCGTGTGTACAGTGGCCGCCGCGTAGCATTACTAAAGGATGACTGTTGTAGCGGCTGTGCTGCATACTGGTGTTGGTTGGATGACCAAATATTTCTTCTATGCCCTCGCATGTCCTTGTGAAATGGCTGGTTCCCCCGCTCCCCCCCCCCCCCCCCCCCCCCCCCGCTCCCCCCCCCCCGCTCCCCGCAGCAAAACAACTCTCTGACTCATTCATACAGTACGTTGGTTTATTGCAACAAAATAAAAACTGGTTGGCGAGAGAATGGGGGAAAAAGACCACGAAATAATAAACGACTAACAGTTATAAACAGGATAAAGGGCGAACAAATCGAAACGACCAATGAGCGACCAGTACGTACGATACACGTGACAAGAACCAAGACAACAACACCGTGGACGAATCACTCTCTCGCACCCGAACCTTACTCTCACAGCGCATGCTCCACATAGTCTACGCATGCACACCAACTAGTAAACAAACCCTCTCGCGCAGACGGAAGCAGATTCCGACCCTCAACAATGCATACTCCTGCATGCACCACACATACCACGCCCGTCACACCGCTCCCATACACCACTCCCATATTCTACACACAACGCACCACACCCATACACCACTCCCATATCCTGCACACAACACACCACACCCATACACACAGAAGACCATATTTGACACCGGACTGGACAGAACAGCAAGACCAGAGACAACAGCGGGTGTAAATAATAAGTGCATCGAATTTTGCAACACTTGCATTGAGAAGGATAGGCCAGTCGTTGTAGCACTGTACACAAACCATCAAAGACATTCCATTTGGTTCCCTAGCGATCGCGCGTCACATCAGGTAAACCCAGGGCAGCTTGCAGCCTTTGCATATGCTGCTTTTCAAATCGGAACACCTCCTTTCATTCGGCTGGAGTCTATTGCGAACCGCCAGGGCAGAAACGTTGCCTACACTGGGCGGCTGGGCGATCTTAATTCAACGCTTCTACATGTACTACTTCTATCATCGAAACAACTTCAAACAACGAATCCACAGCTTCCAAAACTTTGACATTCATCATTTGAATTCTCTGACTATCACATCAAGATTAGTTCTCTTGGGACCGGGAACTCCCCTTATCCTGCCACATTGGGACCGGGAACTCCCCTTATCCTGCCACATTGGGACTGGGAACTGCCCTTATCCTGCCACATTGGGACTGGGAACTGCCCGTATACTATATGTTGGGACTGTTGTGCAGGTGGAATCTTTGCTCTTTTCTAGGAGTTTGCCTCACACCTGCACCACACAGTGAGGTCAAAACTATGTGAAAAGATGAACAGATCCATCTCTTATTCATTAGTTGGGGGAATAGAAAGGGGAACGTGTTTTCTCTGCTTGGTTTTTCTTTAACGGAGGAGAAAATTAACACATCGGCTACATGTGTGTCCGTTGAAAACGCTGATCTGCCTGTTTTTGACTAACTTGTCTTCTTGTGTGTGTGTGTGTGTGTGTGTGTGTGTGTGTGTGTGTGTGTGTGTGTGTTTGTGTGTGTGTGTGTGTGTGTGTGTGTGTGTGTGTGTGCACGTGTGTGTACACGTGTGTGTGCACGCGCGCGTGTGTATGTGTGTGTCTGTGTGTGCGTGTGTGTGTGTTGTACAACAGGGTGCACCAGCTCGTTCTGGTATCATGGGGATTGAGAGGACGATGGAGGCAAAGCGTTTAGAAACAGACAAGACAATTAGTGAGGTACATTGCATACTTGTGCTGTGCCTGCGGCTGTGGGTTTATGTTGTGCCGCCAGGTGTGCTCATGCGCACGTGCGCGCGCGCGTGTGTGTGTGTGTGTGTGTGTGTGAAAAACTTTTTGGGGGCCCGTATTTACTTCCCGGTGCACATGTTTTGCACTTGGAACTTGACGTACACAGCTTGTCCGTTTTTACTGGGCTGTGCAGTGCTATCTCCGAGACAATGTGATGTTCAAGGAATAAGTCATTCGGAGCGGAGGCCATGTTTGGGGACTAATAACAGATCTTGAGGCTGAGCACACCCGGAATAAGACGGCTTGTTAGACAATTTCGAAGTGCTTGCTTGATATTTTTAGTGACTAAGTTTGTGCGAGCTGGTTGGTACGTCGGTTTAGTTTCCTGTAACCTGTGTAGAGTTGTGTTGTGTCAGATGTGTCAGCACTGAGGTAATTCTGAGGTGAAATCATATCTCTTGCATTTGTGTGGTGTGCATGGGTGTGCACGTTTGTGTGTGTGTGTGTGTGTGTGCGTGTGTGTGTGTGTGTGTGTGTGTGTGTGTGTGTGTGTTTGTATGTATTGAAATAGGCGTTTCAAGATTTGAATGCTCTAATGGAAAAGGTGAGTGTTCCTTCTGCTTTCACAGCATGCTGTGTTACCGCTGTGGGGTGTGATGTGCAAATTGTTATGTGAGGCAAAATTGAAAATCGACCGACACTGTACACTGCACTGTACACTGTACACTGTACACTGTACTGTACACTGCACTGTACACTGCACTGTACACTGCACTGTACACTGTACTGTACACTGTACTGTACACTGTACTGTACACTGCACTGTACACTGCACTGTACACTGCACTGTACACTGTACTGTACACTGTACACTGTACTGTACACTGTACTGTACACTGCACTGTACACTGTACTGTACACTGTACACTGTACATAGCGATGTCAGGGTAAATTTCTGTTTTGAGAATCGGGCAAATATTGTAATACCATCCGATTCCTGAAGACAAGTAGAGTATACTGGCAAAGTTTGAAGCAAATCGGAGCAAATATAGTGGACTTATTCCAGTTTAGAGTGCGCGGGGTAAGCGCCGCCATTGTCGAAAAGCACCATGCCGCACTGTACACAAACCAGATCTCACCACGGCACAAAATCGGTCTTGACAACAGGGATCGCGGCTCATGAATAATCTTGCGCACTGTACAAAATGTACATACCGTAGCTGTACTGTTTTTTTTTTTTTGTTGCTGCAAACTGTTGGAGAAATTCAAGAAGACTGTTGAAGAGTAGCCGAAGTATGAGTTGTGATTTGACCATTCTCCAAGACAAGAAGAGTTCGACAAGTAGATTATGATCCTGGTGGTGGTCCGCTTTGAACTTCATCAGTTCTAACACCAATGCATTTGAAACGTTTCCGATCATGCCAGGCAGGGGCTTATCCTGCAATAACTGCTCCTCCTTGAGTCCAAGACTCGACAAAACATCTTCACCGCCAGTCCCTTTGCTGGACGAACACTCATGATGGCGGTGTATCCAGCAATGGAGTACCTGTCGCGAAAAATACTACAAGTCTGGTGCGCGGCGTGATACGCCGGTGAAACTTGGCAGCAAACTAAATTGGACGACGGGGAACACGATGGAACTAAAATCAAACGCGTATCAGGCAGCGCAAGAGATGAAAAAGGCGACTGAACATACGCTAACTTGTCGGCGGCCATACTCCCAGCTCCGTAGGCGCAGCGCGCCCGCACAAACGCGGATACGAAAGTTCATCTTCTATTTTCGTGGCAATAGTCACGACCAAGCTTGTCACTGACGTCTTCAGGTCACATTTGAATATCCCGCGTGCCAAGTACTGCACGCTCTGGCCGCGACTGGCATTCTGCCGTACTGACCTTTTGTGCCATCATTTCAGCTGGTTGCTAGGGAATCCAGCGACAAGCGTGGAGGTCACGTGGCACGGCACTCTGACATCGCTACTGTACACTGTACTGTACACTGCACTGTACACTGCACTGTACACTGCACTGTACACTGCACTGTACACTGCACTGTACACTGCACTGTACACTGCACTGTACACTGCACTGTACACTGCACTGTACACTGCACTGTACACTGCACTGTACACTGCACTGTACACTGTACACTGTACACTGTACTGTACACTGCACTGTACACTGCACTGTACACTGCACTGTACACTGCACTGTACACTGCACTGTACACTGCACTGTACACTGCACTGTACACTGTACTGTACACTGTACTGTACACTGTACTGTACACTGCACTGTACACTGCACTGTACACTGCACTGTACACTGTACACTGTACACTGTACACTGCACTGTACACTGCACTGTACACTGTACACTGCACTGTACGTGTACATGCATGCGATTTTTGTCGTCTAGCAGAGCAAGTTGCGTTCGTTTCAGAGGGATGGGAGGGGGTCCGAGTATGAAATGAACAATGTTCGTTTCGGGACGACAAAAAACTTTTGCGACGACCCCTTATATCTACATGTGTTACAGTAGATGGCATATTGCTGCCTGTAGACTGGCTGTTACTCGTTGATGTTACTGTGTGCTAATTTGTCCTGATGATCACTGATGTACATTGTACTACTCCCGGACACTGCACACAGTAGCCACCACTCAGCCACCACTCAGCCACCACTCTGCACGGTATTGCATTCTATTTCTCAAACTTGTCCTGGTGCTGCACAGCACAGCACAGGCGTACATGGCTAGTGCCTTCTGGGTTAGCACTAGCACTGTGAATGTACTTTTGTGTGTTGCAAATCTTGCTCTTGCCCTTTGCTGAACTTCCTATATTGTGGCTGGGTTGGTGTATGCATGTGTTACTCTAGGCTAAGCAGATGGTGTCCCTAGCTGAATCTGTTACCAGGAAACTGGAGGAGAAGAAGGGCAGTCTCACAGATGATGAGGTGCGTATCGACTATAATAGTATGATTGTATAGCTATGCTGTGGATATTGTCATTTTGTCAAATGGTTTCTACTGTTACCATACCGCCGCGGCCTCAAGCCGAACGGCGTATGCCACATGCTCAACAGACTGAACTCTGCTCTAGTAGCATTGCAGCATTGTGGGCAGCACTGCATGCAGCCCAAGGGATGATTGTAGCCCTGTATGCAGCCCACTGGACCCTGTAGTGGACGATTGGCAAATACAAAAGAGCAGCCAATGCATCAAAGAACTGCAGTACTGAACACAGCAGATCCCAGATTGGAACACAGCCTAGCGACTGGTTGCTCTTCCAGGCCAGACACGGAATAGATGGTCTGCCTCCTCCATAACAGTGGGGCAGAATGAGCAGTAGGGAAGGGGGGGGGGGGGGGGGGGGTGCTCCTATCCAATGGAGATATCCCCGAAGGAGGCTACAATGGCCAGTGAGGAGCTGGTTCAGCCTGACTGTGATCGCGCGTCGATCCAGCTCTCCAAGTTCTCTGGTGTTGAGAAGAGGCGGTGCAAAGGCAGTTGATGCTTTTACAGCACATTTCCCGGCTTGAACGGGCAGCTGAATAGCGGGTCCTGGAGTCTTGCTGTACCGGCCCAACCTCTGCACCTGTGTTGTTGTTACTGTGTTTCACACAATGTGGGTGTTCTTACACATCATGCTCCCTGCTGTTGCCATTGAACTGTACAGTAGGAACTAGTAAGAGAAGTGACTCTCTACATGTTCTCTCTGCTTGTTGGCATGTGTGTGTGTGTGTATTGCAGACAACAGCGTTAAAGTCCTATCTGCTCAGTGTTGGTATTGCTAACCCAGTCACCAGGTACACTACTTACTGTTACACTCTATTAGGTGCCATCTACTTGAGAGCATGTGTACTGTAAACCAGCGTTCTGAGAGCATGTGTACTGTAAACCATCGTTCTGAGAGCATGTGTACTGTAAACCAGCGTTCTGAGAGCATGTGTACTGTAAACCAGCGTTCTGAGAGCATGTGTACTGAAAATACATTTGACGAGTTAAAGGGGAAGTTAAGGCAACAATTAAAATTTCACCAGTTGTAGTATTCGGGGTGCTGAGTCGAATGGTCGTGGTCCGAGGAAGCTGAGACGCTCCCTTCCTACTTGAATCCCAATCGAACTCGCGCACTTCCACCGAAACTGGGTGACTGCGCCCTACTAGATGGGGATTTGTATGCAAAATGTCACTAAAAGCGCCATTTCGTTCTTATAAAAGCATGGATGACCGCGAGTGGCCCATATGTTGTAGTCTTTTGGACGCTGAGTCGATTGGTTTTGGTCCGAAAAGGCTGCGATGCAGCGTTCCTCCTTTTTTCCCAATCGAACATGGTTGAACAAGCGGTCACGTGCTCCTGCGTACGCCAGTCACCTGGTCACCGTGCCTGCAGGGTACAACTTACTAGCCTGTTTGACCTTTTTTGGGTGCAGTCCTGTCACTCGAGTTGAAATCGAGTTGAACCTTGGTGTGAAAGTTGTCGCCTGCTGGCGTGGTGACCAGGTGATTTGGGCACCCAGGAGCACGTGACCGCTTGTTCAACCATGTTCGATTGGGAATAAAGGAGGAACGCTGCAACGCAGCCTTTTCGGACCAAAACCAGTCGACTCAGCGTCCAAAAGAGTACAACATATGGGCCAATCGCGGTCATCCGTGCTTTTATAAGAACGAAATGGCGCGTTTAGTGACATTTTGCATACAAATCCCCATCTAGTAGGGCGCAGTCACCCAGTTTCGGTGGAAGTGCGCGAGTTCGATTGGGATTCAAGTAGGAAGGGAGCGTCTCAGCTTTCTCGGACCAAGACCATTCGACTCAGCACTCCGAAGACTACAACTGGTGAAATTTTAATTTTTGCCTTAACTTCCCCTTTAAGAGAGGAGTTTGTAACTGACTTGATCGCATACACAACATAGATGATGGTTAGACCAATGCACTATTGTAGAACATCTCTATGATGATTTCATTCCCTTTCGTATTGTATTGCCATGACTGCAGAGAGACACATGGATCGGGGGCTACCTATCATCGTGAGCTTGCCAAACAGCTATCCGTGTTTCTTCAAGAACAGCTGAAGGTCGGTGATTGTTAAGTGATGTGTGTTTCCCGGTACTTTCCTCAGTCCAGACACTCACATATGATCTCTTTACTGCAAAACAGATTTTCACCAAATTTTCAGCCATGACCCGTCATCAGTGTGAAAACGTGCATTGCTTATGTTGTACCGGCATGGTGTTATCATAGTGTTGTGTTGTGTTGTGTGTGGGTGGGTGGGTGGGTGGGTGGATATCCTCTTTGTATGTGTACAGAAGTCAGCCCGCCCTTGATCATGACCTGTGTGCACTGTGAATGATTGTGTGTGTGTGTGTGTGTGTGTGTGTGTGTGTGTGCCAGCTAGTTCGGTTGGTGGGTACACTTATGTCTGATTGTGTTGGATCTGTTGCCAACGGGCTCGGCTACTTGAAGGTGTAATGTTGTACCTGCCACCTTTGTTGGTTCCAGGGTTCATATACTTTCTGTTTGAAGTATACATACCTGTTAACCATGGACTGCTTCTGGCTAGATTAACTCTTGTGTAATCAACGGTGCTAGTGAAGCTTATATCAGATCCACTCTGATTTAGCCACCCACACTAGTTGCAAGTATTACCTTCACTGGGGGCAGGGGTAACTGCAGTTGGATCCCGGGACGGATACCCTGATGCCGTCAATCCTTTTTCTGCACCTTGTCCTCACCCACTTGCTGAGGTGTGGTGAGCCCATAAGTGGGATCATTTTCAAGTCCACCCAGAGTTTTGGGGATTTCAGGGGGTGTCGGTCGTTGGGCGGTTCAATAGCCAATTGAGTCATTTTTCCAAGATTCCTCTTGAGTCTCTCTCCCCTCTCCCGGGGAGACCCACGTGACCAGTTTTGGCAGTGAGCAACAAGTACAAGTAAGTGTGTGTGTGTGTGTGTGTGTATGTGTGTATGTGTGTATGTGTGTGGGTGTATGTGTGTGTGTGTGTGTGTGTGTGTGTGTGTGTGTGTGTGTGGGTGTGTGTGTGGGTGGGTGGGTGGGTGGGTGGGTGGGTGGGTGTGTGGGTGTGTGTCTGGATTCACTGGCCAGAAAAAGTCACTTCAAACAGCTGTGTGGTGGATACCAGGCTAAAAATAGTGGCGGTCAATTCATCAGCCTTGCAAGCTGTTGAATGGTGTAATCCCAGCACAAGTTGCTATATCTAACATAGCTGTTCGCTATCATCGCTTCCGCGATGGGCATGTCTGAGGTCTGAGGTGTGTGTGTGTGTGTTTGTTGCTACTGAACACCAGGATACAGGCGGGATCATGACCATGCAGGACATCTACTGCCGCTTCAACCGTGCACGTGGCATGGAGGTATGTACTGCCACGCTGCCAAGTGAAATACTGCATCATGAGTAGAGCAGAGCTGTGCACGTCCTGAGTAGAGCAGAGCTGTGTACATCATGAGTAGAGCAGAGCTGTGCACATCATGAGTAGAGCAGAGCTGTGCACATCATGAGTAGAGCAGAGCTGTGCACATCATGAGTAGAGCAGAGCTGTGCACATCATGAGTAGAGCAGAGCTGTGCACATCATGAGTAGAGCAGAGCTGTGTACATCATGAGTAGAGCAGAGCTGTGTACATCATGAGTAGAGCAGAGCTGTGTACATCATGAGTAGAGCAGAGTTGTGTTCTCTACACGGTGCAGTGTCCATAGTGCTGGTTGTGTTCTCTACACTGTTCAGTGTCCATAGTGCTCTGCACGGTACAGTGGCCATAGTGCTGGGCATGCCTAGCCTCTGAGTAGGTAGTTATGTTGAACTCCAATTGGCACAGCTCTACTTGCAGATGCACACTGAGTGTTCATCCGGCCACCCTGAGTGCATATACAGTGGAGACCAATCTTGTTCCACCTGCTCGAGCACCAACACCACTACATCACCAGCACCACCACGGCATTCTTCATCATAGTGGTTTGTACTGAGTGGCACCACAGTGGAGCAACTGTCCAGATTCAAGTGTGCGTGTTTCTGCCTCTTCTCTTTCTGCAGCTGGTATCACCTGAAGATCTTGTCAATGCTTGTCAGAATTTTCAGTCTTTGCAGTTGCCAATGAGGTAAGTGTAGTGCTGCTGCTGCTGCCATTCTGAGTAGAACTCTTCCCAGGAGGAATAGTGTATTTTCTACTTCAGTGCGAACCAAGGTCACCAATGTCATCTGTGCTGGAAAGCTTCAAGTCTGTACATACCTGTCTTTGGCAGACCCAGTGCTGCGCAATGGTCTGGAAGAGTGGGCAGATCACAGACGTTGGTGGGTGTCTTTGACACCTTGGTCTTGTCTCAGGCGAAAAGTGTACTGATTCACGGCTGCTGTATGCCCTTGATACCTTGGTGCTGACTGGCAATCTTTTCTTTCCCATAGAAGAAACAGATGGGTAGTTGCGTTGTTGGAGGTGCGCGCACGTTGCAAACATTATTGTCACATTATTGTCACTAGTTTTATTGCATTCTATTTGTCACTGACTTGCGGTTTAATGTTGGTTGTGCTGTTTAATGTTTGGCTGTGGTGTTTAATGTTGGCTGTGGTGTTTAATGTTGGCTGTGGTGTTTAATGTTGGCTGTGGTGTTTAATGTTGGCTGTGGTGTTTAATGTTGGCTGTGGTGTTTAATGTTGGTTGTGGTGTTTGTTTCTCATGTTGTACTGGCATCAGATTACGAAAGTTTGACAGTGGTGTGCTAGTTGTGGAGCTTCTAAGTCATGATGAGGCTAATCTGCTAAGCGATCTACAATCACAGGTTAGGCAATATGCTTGTGCACACTGCTGCAGTCAGCATCATGAGCTTTTTTGTTTTGTTTTACAATTCGCTATACGGATAGCAGTACAGGTAATGTATGTGGGAAAGTTCCAGGTACAATGATGCCTGGGTTGGCTCTGGGAGAATCCGGCTTCCAATCCTGGCATTCACTCAGACCCAGGTCACTCTGTGCCATCGTACATAACTGCAAGAATGTTCTGGTGTATGAGGAAAGAGGCTTCCACTGTATATGAGATAGAAAAAGTAAAAGTGAGCAAGATGTTGAGCAAACATGAAGAAAGCTTGAGGCCAAAGTCATAACTCACTCTATGCATAGATGTGTCACCAGAAGATGGGCACCTCAAACTAACTACACACTCATTGTCAAGCAACAGCTAGTGCAGCCATGGCCACAGGATTATGAAGGATGGTTGACACCCAGGCGCGTACGCAGGGTCACCTCTAGGGAGGGTTTCCAACCGAATTACAAACAATGTGTTTTTTAAACCCTTTTAATTTAAATGGATGGCAGTCGTGAGTCAGTCAAGTGTCAAGTTCGGCAAGAAGCGTGTGTTCCTAGTTGGAACAATCAACTTCATGCCTTTAAAAAAATTCAAAATTATGCATTGTTCGCGTTATTGGATCATAACTTCAGTTCTACTCACTCAATCTTCATAATCTTGGGCTTCCTGGAAGTGGAATGGTATCCACGAGAGAAAGAGGATCAACGAGAGGAAGAGAATGAGGTCGACCATATAGCCAGGACACTGCAGGCGCGTAGCACCGCCGTTGGAGGTGGTCCGGGTGCATGGGGGTCGGGGGTGTCCCCCGGGAATTTTTAAATTAGGGTGCAAAATCCTGCATTCTGGGCACTTTTGGCATTGGTCCGGCCACAGCCGGACCAGCTGCTACGCTGCTGCACTGTACCTAGATCCAGCGCTAGCTATAGTATAGAGTGCAGCAACGGTGCAAAAATGCCCCAAAGCCAAAGGCCCAAACGCATCCTGCTCCAGCGATTTCGTTTTTCTTGATCGCAGAGTTTCGATTGTTTTGCTGTGTACTCTTGAGAATCAAGTATCATAAGTGAAGCCCCTGCAAATTTGAGCAAGTCAATGTGACGAATAGTCTCAAATTCTCGATACTCAAGTCGCACTGCGCGCTTTGGAAATTGCCGGGATCGCGGCTCAACTTACGAATGCTATATCTCAAGAACCATTGCTCGCAGCGCTTCGCGAATTATTTCTACCGACAGCTGAGAGTTTTCTATTCGACCTGGATATTTGGATCGTTGGAATCGAGCCAGATTTGACTGAGTTACGATCTGTTGAAGTTTGCATTCTTGTCAGATCAATCGCACGCCCTACCAGAATGTGCCCAACAATGTTGCTCGTTTGGAACATTTGGGGGGTTTCCGGGCAACGGGACCCCCCCCCCCCCCCTGCGTACGCACCTGGACACCTGAGTGTCCCATCCAATCTGAATCTGGGAGCGAGTTGCAATCCTTATTACTTAGCAGTGTCTATTTGCGCCAACAGAGTTCCTTTGCAGTCAATAGAAAGCAGCAATGGCATTTCATGACGTGTGGAATGATTGGTCATGGCTATAAGGAGGCTTCCATAGTACAGAATCACGTCCTTGGCATGCTACTTCCTCCGGAACACTGATAATGGACATCGCTAGTGCGCTCGTTAAATCATCAACAGACGTGGAGGAGTTGTCAAGAGAGATGTTGCAAACAGCAGTGGGTTTGCAAGGGAGGCAATGGCACTGATGTCTTTAGGGAAAATTAATTAGTACTGCAAGCCAGTGGACATTGGACAGACATGGGTGTGCTGTAGTTTGGACTTGCATCACATGTTTATTGGCACTATGTCATCAGGATTGTGGAATAATAATAATAATAATAATAATAGTGAGGTTTTGCATTCCGAATTTCGGTACAGCGTTGTTCGGTCATTTGTCGAACATCAAAATGTCGAATTTTCGCACCAACGTTTGTTTTGCAAGTCGAAAATGATGTGTTTTCATTTCGTGAGCCCCAGCATCAGCAACGTCCTGTCCCGTGCTCCTTTTCTTGCTGATTCCAACGAACTTTGATCACCCAAAGAGTCGAGGGCCAAACCTGCCTCCTCAGTCGCCTCAGAAAAACCAACTCCATGGCCAAGTCAAATTTTATGCGTGTCGCCATAGTCTTTTCAGTCACACAGATGACGGTGAGGACACTCCAGGCGAAAGAGAGTCGACAGGCAGTGGAGAGGAGCAATCAGAGGTAGCTGACGATGCTATGTCGCCAAAGACGCCTGCCAAGCGATGCCGAGATAAGAAACCTCTTTGAATAAATCACGCGCGAGCGCTCTTCTACAAGAGAATGCATCCGAAAAATATTTTCGGCAAAGTGAGCTTTTTCCGAACAAACACTCCGAATCTTCGTGTGCATTTTCGACCTCGCTCCCGCGTGCCGAATCTTTTTGCCGAATTTCGGAATGCAAAACCTCACTAATAATAATAATAAAAATGGTCATGCATGATGTTTTGTGTGACAGATGGACCTGTTATTTTCCTGCTTGTTGGCTTGCAGGTCACCGATGCCACGTCAATGAGTGCAGATGAGCTGTCACAGCTAGCAGATATCTCCATCATGCTTGCGAAAGAAAGGTTAGTGCCCATTGTGCTTGCAAAAGAAAGGTTAGGCAGAGCAGTATGCACCAGAACACAGTGGAGGTGTGTGGCCACTAAAGGACGCATCCTCACCTGGGGTGCATATGAAGATCAGCCACCACTCCAGCTCGCTTTCTTCTTCTTTCTCTTGTCGTGCACAGATTATTACTGGGTGAAAGCAAAGGACTGCTTTGCAGAGATGATTCGGTCGAGGGCCTAAGATTCTATCCAAATCGATTTGTCGAGGTCTGACTGCTACCAGTCTGACCACCTCCTCCACTGTTTTGCGTGGGACCCTGTGGACATTTTGGTGTTGTGTCGTCAGCACCAAAATACGTCGTCCATTTTCCGATGTGAAGCTTGCTTTGTGCCATCCTTTATGTGCAATCAGCATGTACTGCCCGTGTCAGTGCTTCGATGTTGACCAGGAAAAGGTTGGTGTTGGTATTGGAAAGGTTGATGAGCCAGCGAAGAGAAGCAGTAGACCACCACTTCAGAGGCTGGATGTTTGCAAATCTCCAAGTAATCCCATTCCGTACCGCTTACCTTGCTTGACTCCTCTAGTCCGCCGCCGCCGCCGTCGTCGTTGCTGCTGCTGCTGCCACCGTACAAACTAATAGTGTGCAGTGTTTCTGCTTCCGATTTCACTGCTTAGCTTCTTGCTCTAGAATTCACTTTGAAAGCCAACAGATAAATTTGCTTCATGAAACACATGCTACACATTATATTTATGATTTTTTTAACACTTTAGTGTCAGTTTACTGCTCTCAATATTTCAGCTTTACTCAACTTTTGTTAATGTCTGTCAGTTCTAAGTTGCTGCCTCACACATGTATGATACGGTATATGCTTAATTTTGGCTATGGAAATGTGTCCGGGCTAACTTATCGTTGATCACACACTGCCATGACTGCACTACTCGACATTCTCGTAAATGAGAGACGGTTACAGTTGGCAACACAGTACTTATCGTAGAGGAGAGTTGGTTGCAGTATGATGTACTAAATTGGGCCAAATGCTGGCCCAGAGCCCCCCCCCCCCTGAAAAAACACTTCCCAACTGGGATGCCCAGGTTCACCTCAATTAATTTGCCTCCAATGCATCGCGGTTACATCACTTCAGAACTCCTTCCATTCCACTGTCTCTAGACTAAGGGAGTTGTCCACTGAATGGAGCATGGCCGTTGTGTCATGTTCTCCTGTCCCAGCCTCCCGGGGCCAGGTAATATAAATTATTGCAGTGTTTACCCAGACCCATTGATCCCTCACATGCACAGCCTCCAAATCCCCCATTGCTACAGGCTTAGGCTAGCTGCATTCGCACACGGTACAAAACCACGTGCATGCATCATGTTCTTTGAAGTGCCCATAGAAACATGCGCAAAAGTGAAGAAAAAAACATGTACGTTGAAAGCAATCCATTAGCCACTTTGAAAAGAACTTTGAAAGCGAATTTTTGCGTTTCGTTTTCAGGCAAGTTTGAAACAAATGGTAGGTGTGCAATCTGCGAAAGCGTACGGTACGTGAAGCTAGTTTGGCGCAAAAAATTCAAATTCGCTGCGTCTCACCATGGATATCTGGTCACGTGGGCCACTTTTTACGTGCATTCATTTCCTGTGTGAACGCATACTTGGTGCAAGTGGTTTGTACGAGGATTTCCACGAGAGTTTTTGTGCTGTGCAGCCTTACATAATCTACTTCAAAGTACAAGAATACGCCTCGAGTGTGCTCTTGCTGGCATCACTCATTGAATGGAATGGCAGAAATAAAATAAACTTCGCAATCTGAAGTACTGGAACTCTAATGACTAAATCAAATATAAAGTGGATCTACTTCCGAATTCGTTTCTATGTAGCACTTTGAATTCTACTGTCTTTAATGACAGCAACCACTGATTAGAGTCACAGGAAGCGTTTTGGTTTAAACCGACACACTTCGTTGTAATTGTATAGCCTTGTAAAATAAAATAGATACTGTGTGCGTTATTGCACTGGACAGCTAACTCACACACTCCGGTGCTCCAGCTAACTCACACACTCCGGTGCTACAGTAGAGTCGCGCGTCCAAGAACGTTGCGTCCGAGGGGTTAGCCTGGGGCGTTCTTATTTTTCAGCAATCCGGCTGTGTTCTTAGAGCACGTTCTTTGGAACAATCATAAGTGGATCATATGAATCCCGAAAGCTGCTGGAAAACCAACACCGCCGTTCTTAACTTCAGGCTGTGGCGTTCTTAGCATTTCAGGCTGCACGTTCTTCGGCGCACAATTCTACTGTACGCGGCACGGCCAGGGGGTGAAGTGCGACGTTCTCTTTGCTTTCAAAGAGGAACAGTGCCCGGCTGGATCACAAACGGAACTTCATCAGGGTATGTCTACCGGAAGCTACCAGCTTGCCATCGTGCTTGCGATAGATATCAACGTTCGTAAAGCCCAGATTAGCTCCATCCTTCAAACACCGTCCCTCGATAACAATAGTTTCTCCAATATTGACGGCACGGATACAGGACGTGTTCATTTCAATAGAAGCAACAGGTGGTGTAACTTTAGTTTCCTTGCCTTCTGTCAGCGTCAGCAAGCCAGCAATATCTACAAGTAAGCACATCATTGCTCCGTGCAGCTGCTGCACCGAATTTGTATGCTCCTCTTGAACGACGAGTTCAGCTTTGACATAGCCCTGGGGCTCCTTGCGCACCTCCAGCACTTTGAGCGTCCTCCAAGGCCGATTGAAATTTTGCCAATCCTTGTTATTCTTGATTGCTACCTGAAGTTGCTCCGTGGCATCCATCGCAACAGTTACTAGGAGTATTCAGTCACAGTAACACATAATAGGTAGCACACCGTCGATTGCAGATATACCCCGGGCCCGGTACATGTACAAGTGAGTGGCTCTTGGTGAGCTCCAGAAACAGTGCGACTGCTGCCCGCGACGAAATACACTACTTGTATTGTTGTAACTAACTGTTCCTTTAGAGTTTAGTAGCGGCTATGCTGCAACCTTGCAGGTTCCACGAGGTGTTGCTGAAGTGTTGACTCGAACTGCAGAGCCGGAGCGGAGGAATACGTAACTAACAGCAGCACGTTCCAACTGCAAAGAGCAAACTACTACTACTAGATTACAACTAAAAAACTAATGCTTCAATCAAGCTAGCTAGCTGTCCGATCCGGAGCGTAGACATGCATGGTAGCAAGAGTCCATAACCCCCGGGGGGTTATGGACTCTTGATGGTAGATATACTTGGTGCACGGTCGCGGTGGAGACTTGACTTGTGTCATACATGTCAAATTTAATATCACTTGTTTTAAATATTATTATTATTTTGTCTTTCCAAAAAGACGAGCTAGTCGCATGATTTTACCTGCAGCTCCTGTGTGTGCGTAGTCATACTCAGTGCTCATACTACTAGTCATAGCGCTAGCGTCAGCTCATACTTGCACGGAAAACAGTCTGCACCCTGATACTAACAATAATATTTACGGGCCAAAAAATGAGGCCAAGCCGCTCCCCTCCCCAATAACAAAATAATTACCCCGCTGCCTGGATCATGGAGTCGTCTCAGATAAGCACACATCATCCAGTGGTAGAAAAGAACGAAGACAACGTTGGTGTAGTGATTATAATTATAATGGATTGTACAACTACTAATAATAAAGTCAACTATAGCTATTGAAAAATCAATTACAGGCAGCATGTACATGTACAGTGTGAAGATAGGCCGACATAGTACCCAGTAGTACCCAGTAGTTCCAGTAGTTCCAGTAGTTACTCAGTCTATGCTGCCCTGTACAATGTACTAACAAGCATATCAATGGCAAACTGCAGAAAGCACAGCCTTTATGTGTGCGCATGCATGCACGCATGCACACGCCCATACACACCCACCACACACACACACACACACACTGGTGGCTGCTTACTCTACGGGTACGATTGCACTGAGAACCAGCAGCTCAGGAAAGAGAGACAGCAGCGGGACCATGAATATCCACCGCATGCATATATCCACACCTGCCAGCAGCAGCAGCAGAGCCAAAGCTAACAATTCTTGTACTAGTAGTGTGGCTGCATGGCACGGCGGCAAAGTGAGATGTCAAACAAGAAACCCGTGTGTGCATCGTTCGTCACTCCACTGGAGTACCTACGCTGAGCTGCAAGCGTCAAGCACCAATCCAGTGCGCGGTGGATGAGCACAGCAATACAATACGGTGCAGCGTATCGTACTGTCAGCCAGCATACCAGCCACAGTAGTAGCGAGTTGAGCAGGTTGTGAACCACGGCTGCAGGCAGTAAACAGCGGCCACCGTAGCCTATTAGTTACGGCAGTGGATCAGGCCGCCTTCCTCACTTGGCTACTTGCTGCCTCTTTCGACGCTCTTCACGCAGTTTCTCACCCAGGTCACCGTGCTCCAGCATGTACTTGGTGAAGTTGGAAGACATGCCAGCTGCAATTTCGTCAGCAGTGCGGTTCTGGCCAAAGTAGTCCATGAACTCACCGTCGGGGCCGACCAGATAGCAGATGATGGTGTGATCGACCTGAAACACAAGCAGTACCCAGACAAGTAACACGCTAGTCGCAAAGTGCACAACATGTTCGGCACTGGGTAAGAAAGACCAAGTTAGTTGTAAAGTACAAAACATGTTATACACAAGTACATGTAACACCAAGTTGCAAAGAGCACATGTTCTGCGCTGACTACGCGTGTAGACAGTAGCCCGCATTGACGAAGGCGGATTCCAGGAGACAGTACAATGCGGGAGATTTGTACAAGGGATTTCACAGTCTCTAGCAGCTCCCCACCAAGCCCTAATAGGCGATTCACACGACAGGCGAATCCACGCTTGTCAGGTGCACGCAGAAAGTGAAACGTGAGTCCGCAGTTCACACGGTCGTGAGTGGCGGCCAGAGCTCCCGCGAGTGAGTGTACGGCGTTACTGTGGTGATTTGGAATGAGTACCCAAAGGCAAAGGCCAAACAACCAGGGTTCAAGACTACCGTACCATAGTACCACCTCACGGGCTCACAACTGTAAAAGTGCCCGCAGATGAGTTCATCCGCGGGCAAAAAACCCATGGACACTTTTGATTCCTGCAGACAAATTTTGGTTGCCCGCAGGAATATCTCCATGGTGATTTCCCTGTAAATGTGGATTTGCCAGTCGTGTGAATTACCTATAACTTGGTAGAGCTACACACCAGCTGTGCTACCAGCTTTGATAGAACACATAGAATATTGAACGCCCCAAGCCAAACTAAAAGAGCTGTGTGCACGCACTGGCAGAGAACTCACACATGTACCCTTCCTCTGATAACTACTCGTTCTACAGTCCATTCAGAAAAAGATGGACTTCTAGCTTTTGGTCATAAATGGGTCAAACGTTGAGTTTTTTTAGAATTTTTTTCTGCAATCCCCTATGGAATCCTCTTCCAATTATGTTTCTAAAGTCTATTCCTCCAAAAAGCAAGCCGTAACAAGAATAGTATTTCGGCCAGGTTTTGCCCCAAGAGCACTGAATTCGGAAAGACCATCAAAATCCAGGCCGTTTGATCCTGCCTGCAACAGTGCATTGTACGGTTCGAACCCCAGTTCAGGTACCCTTTTTGGACCCTTTTTCAAATTTCAAACTTCGCAGCACTGCACTGTGTACGATAAAATCTTGAAAAATCGCCAAATACGGGAGCTCGCCAGAGCCAGGGCCCATCTTTTTGTGAATGGACTGTAGTGGGAAGAGACAACCCACCTCAATATTGGCCAGCGTACATGTACAACAAACAGCAGCAGGATATGCACAAGACAAAGGAAACAAGTAAGAGGAGAAAATCTCCTACTTGTATCCTCTTCATGTGTCTTCTTACAATGTAGTCATTGTCGTCGTCCTTGGGTGACATTGAGTAGTAGACACGGTACTCCTTGCACACCTTGTCAATCTGCTCCTTGCTGCCTGTCAAGCCCATGAACCTAGGATGAAACTCTGAACACGCACGGCAGAAAGTCCAGGGGCAATAATTTTAGTGACAATCAGTACATCTCTTTTTTTCCTTCAGAACTTTTTAAAAAGCTCCATTGTAGCCTTGTCATCTTTTCACTACATGTACACCTCCACCTCACTCACTACATGTACACCTCCACCTCACTCACTACATGTACACCTCACTCACTACATGTACACCTCCACCTCACTCACTACATGTACACCTCACTCACTCAGGCTGTGTTGCTGTGTTTACATGAGAAATTTCAACCTGGGTCGAGTTCAGCCCGGGTTGAAAGTCTGTACGATAGACAAAAGAGGTGAGCGTTTACATGAAGACAGTTGACCCGGGTCAAATACTGATATGCCGCCAAAAGTCCACTTCTAGAGTCCTGTATGGTCACGTGAATCCGTTCGCGTGAAATTTAAAAAAAAAATATTTGCATGTACAGTGCTGTTCAAACGAGATACGCACAGAAGTACGTTTGTACGATTTTCTTGATCTGGGTAGAACTCAACCCGGGTTGAAACGCCTCATGTAAACACAGCCTTAGAGACACCTCCGCCAACTCACAACACACAAAGTCCTCCTTGGCTACACCGCGTACAACGATTGTTTTCCCAATTTTCACCCAGAAGGGCACAATCAGGGATCATCGTGACAAGATGAAAAACCTGAACAAAGACACCTGCTGGTTGTGAGTGCTGCAGTAAAATTTCCCATTCTGCATGGACACAAATTTACCTGATCAACGTGAGCAGGACTGTTGAACAAGGCATGTGGACACACAGTATACTACATGTACATGTAGTCACCGATCACCTGACAAAGCAGTGACAGGGCAATGGGACTGCGAAACCCATCATGGCAAGGAAAGAACAAACTGGAGCTACTAGACTCTCTTCAGTCTCCCAACGAAGGACATGGGGGCAGTAGTCCCTTGCTGGGACTAGCTCCGTGTCTTCACATGAACATCTCAAGTAACGCTCACAATAAAGACAAAGCCCCTACCTGATAAGTACGCCTTCATCGCTTCTGGAGTGTCACGGTCGGGGTCCACGGATATAAACACGGGCTGAATCGGTGGGAATTTCGTGATCTTGTCTGTGTCAGTGAAGGCAGGGAAAATGAAAAGAACACATACGATAAGACATGGCATACACAGCATGAATAGTATTGAATATACCCACTGCTGCTGAATGAAATCTGGAAGACTAGCTTGAATACTCAGTGCCCGGAATAGTGTGGAACTGCTCACCTAGCACATGTACTGATTACTCTGATAAGAAATGTACCCTTGCTTAATATGGACATTGCTTGCCATATGTAGGTGTGTATTGTATTGCTCCATTATTGAAGTATGTTCGGATATGAAGTACGCCAGGTACTAATGTAGTGCTAAGGTTCCTGTTGCCATGCATCGGATACATTTTTATCAGGGTACTAGTATACAGAGAGGTATATTGCAGTCTGCTGCTCAATGAAATGTGATTGACGCGAGGCAGCTAGTGCTTGGGAGCAATGGGCCATGCACCCCTAGCCTTGGAAACACTGGGCCATGCACCCCTAGCCTTGCAAACACTGGGCTATGCACCCCTAGCCTTGCAAACACTGGGCTATACACCCCTAGCCTTGCAAACACTGGGCTATGCACCCCTAGCCTTGGAAACACTGGGCTATGCACCCCTACAGTGCATTTCAAAACTATAGACGCGTAGGGTTTTTGAAATATTTCAAATTTGGTTGGAACTTTTTGAGAATAGTTTTCGGAATATTGCTCAGGATCGCTCCACAATTACTCTCATATAGTTTCTAAAGGATTGGATAACAGACGCCCAATTTGGAAAAATTTATGCACAAAGTGATCACAGATTTTATGTGGTATAGATGCTGGCATAACGGTTTTTGCCTAGGTACGCGTCTATAGTTTTGAAATGGACTGTAGCCTTGCAAACACTGGGCCATGCACCCCTAGCCTTGCAAACACTGGGCCATGCACAGGTGCAGGGGACGCTAACTCATTCACGAGATTCGATTTCAGTGAGCAGCACTGGATAACATATAACAGATTGCATTTAGCTCTGAAACTGTGTACACAGATTTTGTACTGTTGGACAAGGGTGTACAGACTTGACACACACACACAACATCTACTTCAAAAGTACTAGTAATCAGTACTAATCACCATTGGTCAGCTGCTTGTTTTACTACAGTACTGTCGGTCACCGAAGAACTGGGGGTCAGCATCCTAGCCTAGACCGTTCTTATTTTCATGTACCGTAAAGTACCGCCAGAGCGCCCCGTCTCGCGAGAGCGCCCCACCTTGATTTTACAGCCAGAGAAAGGAAAATCGTATGGCAGAGTGCAACGAAGTGTGTACGATGTGAGAATCTTAGTGTACTAAGGTCACACTTGGCAGGTTTTTGTGTGGAGCCTGTGTCCACTCGAAGGTACGGATTGACTGCAAACCGTGCAATATGTGTACAAGGTTCATGTCGTATGACATACAGACAGCATACCACCTCCACGCTACGACCACGAAAGGATGAGATGGCGGGGCGCTCTGGCGGTACTTTACGGTACAGTAAATAGTGGATATAACGTGCCCCTTTGATTTTCGATAATTTATCACTATATCCGGTGCATCACTATAGCCGATTTGCATGTATGACTGGCACATGGCACATGACTGTGCATGAAATGATGCGTACATGCTGGAAAAAGCATGAAAAGCAGCCATGTGTACATGTGGCTGCTTACAGCATACAGGGAAGAATTTTCTCTCAATCACGTCTGCTGCCAGATGCATCCAGGCAACACTGATCAGTTTAGGAAGAAATGAACTAAATTTGAAGAACAATTGTTTTGTGATCATCACTCTTGATCAGTATAATATACTATATTTTCCTGTGCATTTGATATGGTTTGCTTCCTGAAGCCCATCACAATAAGCGATATATCGGTATAGCCGATAATAGTGTGTATAGTGATATTTTAGCTGTATTTTTTGTGATTTGATTTTGATTTTGGCGAGTTCGATCATTATAGCCGGTATATCGTTACACCCGGTCACTTTATAAACGATACTCACTGTACTAGTATTACAGTACAGTCTATGCACTGTTGAGTCACCGTGTATACATTAGTATGCAGTGCTTGGTAAAATTCTAGCCCGGTCGTTCTTCGGCGCTCCGTTCTTCGGTGCCCAACAGCACTGTATGCTTCTGCTTCAAACAACACTGCTACACTGCTTACCCATAGACTTGATGGCTTCTGAGAGCTTATCGAGCTGATCGGGACAAACGTCCGGGCAGTTTGTGAAACCAAAGTAGACCAAGATAAAGTCTCCCTCAAAGTTCTTTTCCGTTACTGTCTTGCCCTGCATGTCCAGGAGCTCGAACGGCCCACCGATCAATGCCTTGCCCACAGACATCCGCTGCTGCTTATCATCATCTGACAAATACAGCACATTGTGAAATAGGAATGAAGGAATGCATGCTACGTTTAGATTGCATAGACTAAACATGTAACCCATGCCAATACAGGCCCCACACTTGACTTCGAAAGAAATGGAAAAAAGAAATACACACACACACACACACAAACACACACACACACACACACACACACACACACACACACAGAACCAGACACTCAGGAAAATGTGCAGATAAGAGTTTGGGGGATTTGGTAAATCTGGACTACAACACACCGAGGCAGAATTGATACATGTACACCGTAACAGGGCAGGCAGATACTGACAAGCGGTGCATCAAAACAAAGGACACACTCATCATCCATGGGTATAGGAAGCTATTTTCCATTTGTCTGGCCTTGTCCAAAGGACGTAGTAGAGAGGGTACGGGGACCTCCCCCCCCCCCCCCCCCAGGAACGTTTTGGAAAATAAATCAAGCCAGATCGTGCCATTTCCCTTCCTTGCATGATAAAATTAATATGTTAGGAACCCCAGTAAATTTCAATGTGAGGGTGACTGAGGAGCAAAAACACTGGCCAGAATTGTTCAGCTCAAAAGACGGCTCCAAAGTCCATGTCATCGCTCACCTTTCCTTATTTCCTCTTTCTTTGAACGAATGAAGAATATGGCACTACCACCGAAGAGGAGAAACACCGGAATAGACCACATCGGGAACATCTAACAATGCAGCAGACACAGGAATACATCAACATGACTGGTGTACATTGTAGGACATAACAACACATGTACAGACACGATCTTTGATGTGTACAGGTAAGAGAACAGAAGCGATGCATGTACGCACCTGTGTGTGTGTGTGTGTGTGTCCGCGTGCGTTTGTGTCCGAGCACCTTCAGAACACTAAAACGGTAGAGTACTGCAAGAGCGCCCTACAACCACTCAATCAAGGTGGGGCCATCTCGCAATGGAGCGCTCTTGTGTTATTATGGTACTTGATGTACATGTAATTGCTGATACTGAGCAACTGAGTTGGATACAAAAATGTAAACTTTTATGGTATGAACAAAGAGAAACAAATGCCAGCAGCGCTTACACCGCCAGTCGATGTCCTTTTGGTACTTGCTGATCTCACGATCTGCAGTGCCTGAGAACATCCCACTTGAGTACGGGCGCTTGGTGACGCGGTGTATCGGAGGCTGCTGAAGCTGCGTGCAGCCATCCGTGAGCATGGAGCCTAGAAACACAGCACAGTGTCACTATTAATGCGCATGCAACTAGTCACTGAGCCGCAATAATCAGCACACGGACATGTGCATATACAATGATTGAGTCAAGTGATGTGCTTTATGCTTGTGCTTCCTTTACCGACCAGAACACACACACGTGCACGCACACACACACGCACACACACAACAGACAAACAAGTTATCCGTAGACTCAGGGGCGTCAGACACGATACGGTCACTACGGTATTGACCGTACCACTTTTTGCCCCAGGTCCCCGCGGATATAATTATAAAATACACTGATTTGGGCTCTTAATTTCCAAAATTTTCGGCTCACCCACCCCTCTCCCACGAGTAAATTGTACTTCAAGTGGCTGACCGTACCACACTAAAATACTTTCCGACGCCCCTGCTGACTGTTGCGACTCTCGAGCTTCACGCCAAAGGAGGTAATCAGACACCAGGTGCCCCAAGTGTGTGAACAGCTTTGCACATTGTGCATGGAGCACTTTCGTAACAACATTGCCGACCTGTGTGCGTGTGTGTGTGTGTGTGCGTGTGTGTGTGTGTGTGTGTGTGTGTGCATGTGTGCAAGTGTGTGTGTGCGCGCGCACGTGTGTGTGTAGCTACCAATATACATGCGTCATACAGCTTCTTCTCGGAACTGATATCGATTTCCATTCTTTCTGGTGATTGAACTCGGGTGTTTGTAAGGTCAAAATATATCACATGGCAGTTGGAGCTAATCATCAGTGTCAATACAAAGTTCCTGAGAAAATACAATACAAAGCAGATGCTACATACCATAGAAAAGCCAGATATCACTGGCTGCAACCCAGCGAAATCTGCATGGAACAAAGTGGTTGCAACATTGCGTCAAAATCAATCAGAAGAGAAGATCACAACCATCATCTTCCGCCATTCATACTTTTCACGACACGGTGGAGAGAGCTGGCCATGGCTGCGTGAAGACTAGCAGTGAGCTACAACGACTACTGCAATGAGCTGCGAGATCTACAGCTTCCTTTTAGCCTTTTCGTATTTCACAACCACAATTCAAAAAATGTGTGTAAGCACTTCTAATAATTATTCTGTTGAGTTGTGACACCGAAAATGACGCAACGTGTATCGAGGGACCAATCGAAAAATTAGATTGCAATTTTTGCTCATAAATTTGTCGTAGTGACTAGTGTTTTGACCACTTTTGTGAACATAGAGTCATTGGGTCGTGTGAGATCGATGAGAGCAGAATCAGCAAGCTAGTACCTGTGACGGTGGAGGCAAGTATTTGCAGTGCAGTCTCTCAGTCCAACTAAGGAAGAAAGTCCACTTGCCCCGGCTGTGGCCCCGGAGTATCCAGCAGCTTGGTCATTTAATCGATAAGTCACATACCACAACCAATAGTCAATACCCCAGCAAGCAGTGTAGTGCGGGTCTACTCTGCACCGTAGATTCTTGGAGATGAATTGTATGTAGCTGCAGTACGCTATTCATACAACTGGATACTAGTAATTCACCCCGGCACATAAACTGACAACAGATGAGATTACTCAGTATAACAATACTGAAATTGAACGGCAAAAACAGGTGCACCGTGTACGCATATGACTTCTGGAACCGTCCGCCATATTGATAATTATTATTGTCAATATTATTGATATTGATAGCACAGTAATTCAGTGTTGGAACTAATTGTGCGTGTATTGACATGGAGGCGGTTGACTCTGAGAAGGCTACGGCAGCTGAGAAGTTCTTGGCTCATGTGACGAGGAGAACCAATTTCAGTTGGCCAATGAGGAAGATGAAAGTGCTGGAGGTGCGTTCCAAGCCGTATGGGTATGTGAAGGCCGAACTAGTGATCGAGAAAGAACACTGCAACGCGCGCAACGTACTGCACGGTGGAATGGTATCACTGCTTGTTGATGTGGTTGGGGTCATGGCATGGATCGCTAAGGACGGCAGGGCTGCTATTGGTCCGTCCATCGAGTTCAGCACGTCATTCGAACGATCAGCCGAGCTGGGCGAGACGATCGTTATTGAGGCGAAGTGCACTAAGAGTGGCCGCTCTCTGGGCTTCACAGGTACAGATATCTACCGCAAGGGCGATGGACTGCTGGTCGCATCAGGGAGACATACACTAGTGAGGTCCAAGGTGTAGTTCCCAACTTCCCGGGCCACGCCGTTACATGGGCTGTGTGGCTTACACATGCATACAACTGGAAATGTGGAAACTAATTACTTTGACTGAATTGCGAGCCACGACTACCGAAGGTGGGTCAAGGCAATACTTTGGACCGGCAACACTTCATGAGATGATGTTGCTCTGGCCAGTGGAGATCATGTACATGTATGCTCGTTTTTAAATCGACTCTGCTGGGATGATGAGACACAGTCAGTATGGGGACGCATGTAGAATCAGTGTGCTGACCAGGGAGGAGCAAAATGGTATTATTTGTACTACCGGCCCTGGTGCTAACAACCGGCTGCACCAGCCGCTACTCCGTGGACTGTGGTCTACTGTGGCAGGCTACTAAGCTCAATTGGATCATGTGTTTGTACCAGTCCGCTGCTACTGGCGGGTTATTCTGACACTTTGGTCCGAGCGTGTGCATATCACCGGCACATGTGCGGCACCCATGACATGTTCCAGCTCCCATGGTGGATGCCAGCCACCTAGTACCTCGAGCCGTGAAGTCTGGTGAGCTGAGCGCAAGCAGTCCTTTATGGCTGTGTTATTTATTGCGGCTTGTCTGATAATAATTATTATTTTACTACGATGATCAACAAGATTGTAGGTGTAGCAATATTTGAATTCCGAATTTCACAGGGGCTGGCTTTCTCCCTTTCTACATATTTTTTTCAGCATAGGATGCCACTCGGTGTCATGTTTGCACTGGTAGCAGGCAGCTAACAAATGACTAGGGGTGACTGCGACACAGCAATCTTTACGACCTATTTTGTCGGATACAATTTTCTTTGAATATAGCTCTAAGGTATTGTGCTCCATTGCAATGGTGTAGGCTCTTGCCATTGTCTGGCAACCCGGTCATTCTGCCTACCGATACTTCAAGAAATAAGAAAAAAACAGTGCTGTATTGCTACGGACTGAACCAGGCATGCAGAGCCCCAAATAGCTGGAAACCAGTTCCAATGGCACTCTAGCCTACGCTCCTGGATCAGCACATAATCATTGCTTAGCACCAGCCACAGTAGATACTATACCAGAGTCTCTGGAACGACAGCTGTGGCAGTATAGCAGAAACTAGCCGTGTTCTCTCAGTACTACACGTAAATGCGCCAAACCTGGAGTGCTGGCCAAGAACTGGCTTTGTAGGCAATGTTATACATAATGGAGCCAATGGTGTAGACGATTGCTTTACCAGTTTACGAGACGGGAGATCTGTTCCACTCTGCCATGAAACCCCACAAGGAGCATGTAGCCGACAAATGAAGCAACATGCATGGACTCCTGAAATAGATGTACATGTACATCCAGTGTAGTATGTACTTTAGTACTTTGTACCCGGGAGTAGCATTACTCCCTGCTTTGTACTGGCAATGTTGGACAATCTTGTCTTTCTTCTTCAGTGAGTGTAGTTTGAACTTCGAAGTACACCTAGAAAAAAAGAACTCTATGCTGTCACTATTGGAAGCTTGACGGAAGTTAAGGAACGCTTGGCCAAACCATTGGTCTGTCGGGTTTCCCAAGTAAAGTATGAATAAATAGTACATTGTAATAATATGATGCACTCTGGGCTAGAAGAAGAAGAAGTGTATCTTACTGGCTCAGATCTGCAACCTCTAGCACTTGGGCAATGCTAGTTGGTGCTTTCAACATACTTGCAAGTACAATACTTAGTACAAACATCCGTGATACATTCTGAGTGAGTCGAAGATCACTGAGGTCCTCACAGTGCCGACCAGCGGTAGGTATAGTCATGGTAGTCAACATACACACACGCACCATGTACATGCACACAGGCTACGTAGTAAGTGCATGCACATCCACACAGCCTGCAGGCATGTGCAAACAAGATGGAGAAGAGCAACGGCGTCATATCTGCCACCAATCAAAAGAGGGAGTGCCCATAATTAAATATACATGGATTGATGACAACGCGATAGTACTGTTGCTAAATTGCTAACAACTTTGGGCACACTTTCAAGTAGCAATGCGCAAATGTTCTGCTTTGGACTGCACTCTTGTTGTAAGTGTGTATTTAAAGCAGCTAGCGCCGCCGTACATGTTGCGCCCGCAAGCACTTGCCAGGGGCAGCGGCGGCCAACTGCAAGGCACTCACACCAGCAGCATGTCGGATATACCACGGAATTGCTCGGTGGACATCAGCTTCTTGATCTCAACTTTGGGCAACCACCTGTACTCCAGGTACTCAGGGTCGTTGAGTGCTTCGATTTTCGTATCACCAGTTACCAAGCCGTTGTATACAAACACCTGGACAATGATAACGCAGAGTAAAAATGGAATAAAGAATTATGACTAGAACGAGTGGCGGTAGGTCTTAAGAATGCTCTCTGCACCTAGTTGCAGATCCTTATACAGGTACAGAGAAGGAGAACCAAAGTTTTATTGCTGTTAGTCAGAGTTGTGCTGGCTGAGGATGGCTAACGCATGAAACAGCAATACCGCATTAGTTTCCCTTCTCTGCACCTGAAAATAGAATTACAATACGTAACATGTATATGCAAGATGCGCATCTCTACAATGCAGCCGCTTGGAGCTTCAAACCGTACAGAGGCAATCCTGAAGTTTATCTTCCACTCTAGAGAGAGAGAGATGCATGCACACACATGTGTAGATGGAACATCACATTAGCAGACCTATACGGTGAGTGGTGTGTCATACCTTGGAGCCAAGTCTGCCGTTCTCTGTTGCATGCTTGACGGACATCAGGCCAGACGGTGCATTGGAATGGATTTTATAATCAAATGTTGGTGTGGTAAATGTGTCAGCCATACGTACTGCCTCCTGCAAGAGAGAGAGAGAAAGAGAGAGAGAGAGAGAGAGAGAGAGAGAGAGAGAGAGAGAGAGAGAAAAGAAGAAGAAACTTAGTCGAACGCGAAATCCTGACCGGGTGAGCTTCTACATAATGCCATCGACACAATCCTCATAACCACACACACCCGCGAGCGAGCGCGTTCACGTTGCACGATTCCAGACTGCACTGATACTGACTGCGTGTACATGTACTGTGAAGTACAGACAGTGTGCGTGGTGAAGAGCTGGGCACAGACCCTGTACAACCCTGCACTACAAATTAGGCGCTGCACTGGCTGGGGCGCCCGTTTCATAAGTCATTCTAACTCTCAAAGTCTCAAACCCCCCCCCCCCCTGGCCAACTTTCCATTGAGAAGTGTTTTATCATGGAGCAAAGTGAGCAATGTTCTGAGTGGCACTGCTTGAGAGCTTGATCGACTTATGGAGTGGCTGCGGTGCACTGGTGGTACCTGCATACCTGGAAGATAGCACCAATTCTGCCCAGGAAAATGTGTACAGATGACACCACATAACACTACGCGAGTAAGTGGTCTACAGGTTACAACGCTCTATGCACACCAGTGCCACAACACTCTATGCATACAGTCCTGCAATACTCCATTCATACCAGTGCGACAGACAAGATATCACAACCTCCCTAGCAGAAATGTTGCGAATTCGTATTACGACTATGATTTACGCATGTTGTTGTATTTGGTTCTTGTCTGGTGGAGTCCAGTGTCTGATGTCATATATGGTCTAGGTGTACGCGCGAGTATGGTGTGATGTGTGACGTTTATGGTATGTGGTGCATGCAAGAGTACGCGTTGTCAGAGTGTGAGGATGTGAGGATGTGCTTCCGTCTGTGTGAGAGTGACTGTCAAGTGAATGCTGTACATGCGCAGTGCTAGTTTGGTCTGGGAATGAGAGTCATGTGTGATTCGTCAGTTGGTCTTGGTCATGTGTTCTGTACGTATTAGTCCCTGATTGGTCGTCTGTCGTCGCAATATTACTGCTTGTTCTTGTTGTTTTCTTTGAGTCTTTTCCCGGGAGTCTTCCCGTTGTCCTTTTTGTCGTCTCCAAGTTTGTCTCTTTCCTCCTGCGCCCTCGTCATTTCTTGGTATAATATAAGTATTGAAGATACAATCAAGAGTTTGCGTTGTTGTGTGGCGGGGGCCAGGGGGAGAAGCCTACTTCAGAAAGGCAAAACCCAGCAAATTAAAGTATAAGTCAGTGATGATCATGGTGAGGGCGTGCCATATACATATACTTGAAGTAGATAACCAATGTTAGATTGTTGGCCAAAGAAGGATCGCTTACCTCGTGCAACGCCATGGTTCCACACGCGTCCATTTGTGGAAACGTCCACTGAAAGTGGTCACGTTTATGTCTCACAACTAGGTACAGGTAATTATCCAGACAGCGGTTCATGGACGTCAGCACCTTGTCAATATCATCTTGTGTTTCGCGGTCTGCAGGCTTATATTTGGCTTTCTCATCCTCCTCAATGGCTTGAATCTCCTCGTACAGCTGCATTTCATCACCAGTCAACTCTTGTTGTGTGAACTCCGTTACAGTCTCGCCACTTGCACGTTTCTCCAGGGCCTTCGTCAGCCTGGAAAAGCGCTTCATGAGCTCGTCATGAGCTGATGGGATTGCTCTCTCATCTTCCTTGTCATCTACAACATCAAGATAGTCTTGTAGCCACTTGGTCATTTTCTGAGTGATTCGCGGCGGTCGGGTAAGACAGAGCCCTACTTTGATGTCCCATTCAATGTCATCATAGGGTGGAGGCATGTTCATGTAATCCATCTTGTTCCGCCGTCGTTCCCGGAATGCCGTCGTAGATAAGAAGCAACATGGCTGGTGTCTTGCTGGTAGTGCTGAGCAACAGAACAGAAACAGTGCACACTATTGGTGGTTTCTACTCTTGCCATAAACTGATACACATCCAATGCATAAGCAGCATGCAAGCCATTTTAAAAGTATCATTCGACTCATGAATGTATGCATAAACTAGTAGTGCACACCACGGTCGATCGGTCCACTCCAGTATTGATATATTGGTGAACATAGTCACAGTTAATATACTCCACTCCACTGTCCGGTAACACAGCTGGCATGGGTTTTCTATCAAAATTGATGAGTGGAATAGTAAACTTGACAGTAGAAAAGCAGGGGGTGTCATCACTATTGCTACAAGTGACCATTTTAGTGGACGCTCGTAGTAATAGTGATGACAAAATGCATGTGAAGGTGTGGTTTTGCTGTGAATGGCCTGTCACTACAGTCGATATGCGATTATTAGGAAAAAGACAACCCGTCCCAGACAGAAGCGCACTTTGCGAGAATAAGTTTAATAACTTGTATCACTACAGGCGCTATACTCACAGGATAACTTCTTTGTGTAGGCGCTATATTCTTACAGCTCAGTTGCCTGATGATCGTAGTAATACGTGAAACTCAGAGTTGCGACACAGCTTCCAATATCTCTCTTGTGTATTCTTACAGCTATCAACCCGTAGAACAGAAAGGTTCCAGGCTGTCCAAAAAGAGTGATATCAAGTTATCAACCCTATATAGACATACACAATTGCAGTTGCAGTGTACAGCCATACAGCTAAATGGCTACAGCTGGCTACAAGTACAAGTGGGATTTTCCACACTGGCAATCAATTCTGGCTTCACAGCAGACACTGAACTGAAAACTCTAGGCAATTTGCTCCAAACGTGCACAATCTAAATGAAGGTCGAGCGATTTTTAGGGGAGGGGTGCACAAGAAATATCTGTCTTGTATAGAAGCCTGTCTCATATAGAACTAAGAAGCCTGCAAAATTTCCCCCAAAAAGTCATGTAAGCCGCGGCTTTTATACACGACTTTACGGTATATAAAAGCAGAAGTCACTTCAAATGTAGAAATCAACGGTACTTCACGGTACAAACAGTACATGTACAGGTAGTTTCTTTTCTTTTTCTTTTTGGAGGGGGGGGGGGGGGGGTAGGGTAAACTGTGCTGTGCTCATGTTGCCGGAAGGGGCAGGTTTATTCATAGTATATATAGTGCTGTTGACTCACCTCCACACGATGTCCTTCTGTTACATGCTGATGTCAGGATCTGGCCGCATGGGGAAGCGGAGTTTCGGACGCCACTGAAGCTGCGTGCAGCCATTCGTGAACACGGGGCCTAGAAACACCGCAGTGCACGACGTACACGCAAGACTTATCAGTCACACTGAGCAATGTGACATCATCATAAACATACACACATTTTAAGACATTGTTCTGCAGTCACCACACAACCTTCTTCAGTACATCTCTTCCCAATTTCCACCCATGAGAGCATCATTACGGCATTATCAGGGTGAAAATTAGGAAAGAGATCTATTCGGCCGGTGAGAATTTTTTGAAGGGGTGTACCCAAAAAATAAAAAAAGGTTGCGTGGTGACTCCAGAACAATGACAGGACTACAATACTCAATAGAGTGTACTGAACGCCCCAGGCCATACCAATGGTGTCAAGTGAAGCGTGATTTATGCTCCTGCTTCTTTAGTCACCAGTATAAACACACACACACATACACACACACACACACACACACACACACACACACACACACACACACACACATACACACACACACACACATACACACACACACACATACACACACACACACACAGACTCAGACATGCCCGTCGCTGAAGCGATGATAGCAAACAGCTATGTTAGACATAGCAACTTGTGATGGGATTACACCATTCAACAGCTTGCAAGGCTGATGAATTGACCGCCACTAATTTTAGCCTGGTGTCCACCACACAGCTGATTAAAGTGGCTTTTCCTGGCCAGTGAATCCCTATTTTTCATTTTTCAGTTTTCAGTTTTTCAATTTTTCATTTTTTTGACACACACACACAACACACCAGGGAGCCCTACACATAGGGCTCCCTGCAACACACCATAATATATTATACTCCGGCATACACTGGCTGGAGGAGAATGAAAGAATGAGAAAGAGAAGAAAGACGTGTGCGACCATAATCGTCGGGAATTGAACCCGCAACCTCTCGATCGGAAATCGACTGCACATACCACTGCACCATATGGAACACACACGTGTGCATGCACACACACACACACACACACACACACACACACACACACACACACACACACACACACACATGTGTGCACGCACACACACGCACGCACACACACACACACACACACGCTAGACAAATTGGAAATGGAACAAATTATCTCTTGAGGTTCACATCAAAAGGCAGCTATCAGACACCAGGTGCCCCAAGTGTGTGAATAGCTTTGCACATTGTGCATGGAGCACTTGTGTAGCAACATTGCCGACCTGTGTGCGTGTGTGTGGTGTGTGTGTGTGTGTGTGTGTGTGTGCGTGCATGCGTGTGCGTGTGTGTGTGTGGTGTGTGTGTGCGTGTATGTGTGTGTGTGTGTGTGTGTGTGTGTGTGTGTGTGTGTGTGTGTGTGTGTGTGTGTGTGTGTGTGTGTGTCTGTGTGTGTATGTGTAATTACCAGCATACATATATTGTACAGCTCCTTCTCAGAACTAATATTGATTTCTATTCTTTCTAGTGAGTGGACTCTGTCAAAAATGATCACAAGCGAGTTTCCAGCTAATCATCAGTGTCAAAACAAAGTTTTTGAGCACATAAAATACAACATAAATGCTACATACCGTAGACAAACTAGATGCCATTGGCTGCAATCCAGCGAAATCTGCATTGAACAAAATTGTTGCAAAATTACTTCAAAAACCATTCGGAAGAGAAGTTCGCAACCATCATCTACGGCCATTCATACTTTTCACGACGCGGCGGAGAGAATTGGCCATGGCTGCATGCAGACCAGCAGTGTGCTACACCGACTACTGCGTTCCGCTACGAGATCTACAGCTTCTGTTTAGCTTTTTCGTATTTCATCATTCACAACAATTCAAAGTTTGTGTGATCACAAAAATAGCTTTCTTCTTCTGTGTGTCCTGGAGCTGAGTGTGCATGTGATTGGCTACGAGAATGACGTGACGTTTTTGAAAATCCGGTAATACATTTTTTCAATTATTTTGTCATGTTAATAGATGTGTTTGTTGTGGAGTGCTCGTACTCTGTGTAGTGAGTCTAGTAGTAATAGCCATGGTGGTTGCAGTAGCATACCCGAGTCAGTAATCCACCTATGGCGGTGGAGACAAGTGCATTTTGTCATTAATTTTGTTAACAACTTGTCAAATGTCTCTTGCAGTGTACTTTGAAGTACTCCGGAGCTAGCTACAAAGCACAAGAACAAAATCTGTACCAGAGTGATACCAAATGTGCAGTTGAAGTCGGTCAGCTTCTGTCTTGGTTGCTATTCGTGATTATGGTGACTTGCTGTTGGAATGATCAGTCAGTGATCTGAGTGTAATTTGTAAGACAGCAGTCTCGCTTATTTTCGTAGGAATTGTATTATGATCATATAGTGCACTATACTGTAGGATTGTAGGCATACTTTTTAACCACTTCTTACTGTGGGAATAGGGTGGAAGTAAGGAAGTAATATCAGGGATAACCCTGTTACGCTGTGTAGCCTCCGTCTAGCGTCTGCGAGCGGCTGTCAGTTACCCCAGTATGCCTGGCATGGCATGCACTGTGTCTATACATGTACATAACCGGTTATGTACTCTTGGTATCGGTTATAGCGTGGGTGTTTGAAAACGACTTTCTATTCTTATTTCCGATATTTCTTACACACGATACATCAAGTGTGACATAATAATTATTATCATATCGATGATATGTTGGTCGTGATGAGAAAAGGGACCAAATGGCTGTCAGCTGACAGTTGAGTACAACGCGTTTGAAAGTGGGCACTTGAAAAATCGCTGATTTTCGACTGCATTCGCTTGGATTTGGAATAACTTTAGAAGGGTTTTGTGTGATTCAATGCGGTAAAAACGAGTGCAGAGCTGCTTTGGTGGCCTTTCTGTACGTATTTCGATCGTCACAATCGGCCCACGCATGCCAGAGAACGGTGTACGTGACATGCAGGCTACGCGTCCGCGAGCTGCCGTTGCAAAGAGAAAATCTTTGAACATCACTTCAGATTTTTCTTTCTCGTTCTGCTTAGAAATTTGTTTGCAAACATGTCGATCCCAACATTTACCGTTGATGCGAGTCTCAGGGAAGCTTTGACAGAGCTAGATAGAGAGTTTTTGGGCATCGAAGTGGAGATTGCCGAGTCAAGTGATGATTCTGACAGGGAGTTGTCGTTGGAGTTGTCAGAACTATCCTCTTCCTCTGATGAAGACGGCGATGATCGGGAAGACCACTTTTTGGACGAGTCACTCGATGTGGATGCAGTTGCAGCATCATACCTCGGCGAAGAGTCAGCGCAGGCTGCAGAACCAGCGCAGGCTGCAGAACCAGCGCTTGCTGAGGCGGCAGCTGCGGAAGAAATAACTGTGAACTGCGGGTGCAGCAAAAAGTGCTTGGACAAGTTTGATGCAGAAGATGTTCGACTGCTGCAGCTCAACATCGCAGAAATGGAGAAAGGGGAGAAGGAGCTGGTGATTTTGGGCCTTCTTGAGTCATCCAAGTACTCTACTGACACCACGACTCATGGGAAGAAGAGAAAGAAGCAATGGCATCGGTATACTTACCAAGGCGAAGAGGTTTGCGCCGGTGGATTTCGATTGCTGTACAACATCGGATCAAAGCAACTAAAAAATCTGAAAAAACACTTGGAGGAGAATGGGCTGGTGCCACGGACCCATGGCAATGTCGGCAGGAAGCCTAAACATGCTTTGTCGTACGATACTGTGTCTGCCGTTGTGCAATTTCTAAAAACTTACACTGAGCGCTTCGGCATACCACAGCCAGCACCGACTCGAGGGCGAGCTGGAGCACCGCCAACTTATCTGCCAGCGTCATCAACGGTTAAATCCATCCACAAGTGCTATGTGACCTCATTAGAGGAATCAGGCATCAGGGCTGTGGGCTACCACACATTTCGGTCCGTTTGGCTTGACTGCTTGCCAAACATTCAGATTATGACGCCGCGCACTGACGTATGCTCGCGCTGTGAGAATTTCCGCCGACGGATTCAGGAAGCACGGACGGAACCCGAGAAGAGTGCAGCATGCGATGAATTCAAACAACACCTCGACGCAACGCAAGCAGAGCGTGACTACTACCGTCAAGCGACACTACAGGCCCGGGCAGAGCTTGATGCATGTACGACTATCCAGCAGCAGCTGAGCCAGCCATGTTCACGCGATCTGCACCACCCGCACTACACGTTCGACTTTGCCCAGAACGTGGCACTGCCGCAGTCGGCACGTCAGGAGGGCCCCCTGTACTTTAAGGCACCTCGTAAGGTGCAAATATTTGGTGTGAACAATGAAGCTGTGCCTCAGCAGGTCAACTACCTGATCGACGAGTCAGACACCATCGGGCAAGACGGCAAGTCGAGTCATGGTCCGAACGCGGTGGCCTCCATGCTGCACCATTTTTTTTCATTCTATGGACTACATGAGAAAGGCTGCCTCCTGCACTGTGATAATTGCGCAGGCCAGAACAAGAATCGGACTATCGTAGCGTATTTCTGCTGGAGGGTGATTATGGGACTGCATGACCGTATTGAACTGTCCTTCATGTTGACTGGCCATACCCGGTGCCTTGTCGATGGCTGCTTTGGCCTGCTGAAGCAAAAGTTCCGGCGTAGCGACTGCTACACCATGGGGCAGCTGGTGGCAGTGGTCAATGAAAGCGCATCTTGCAACAAGGCCCAGCTGATTCCTGGATCTGGTTTGGAATGGAGAGCCTGGGATACATTTCTGGCTCAACATTTCAAGCCAGTGAAAGGAATCCGCAAGGTTCAGCACATGGTATTCGACGCAGCTAAGCCCGGTATTGTCAGTGTCAAGGCATCCCTGGAAGACACCTACAGCGATGTGGAGGTGCTCACCACGTCTAAAGACGCCCTTGTTGCCGCAGGGATGCCCCCAGTCCTTCAAGCACCAGGACTATCCGAACAACGACAGCAATACCTCTATAATCAGATCCGCCCGCATGTGCCTGACCAATTCCAGGATGAGCTCTGCCCGAAGCCAGCTGTGCATGTGTCTGCTAGTGCCGCTACTAGTGCTTCTCCGGTGGAGGAGTAATGTAACAGACTCTGCTACCTCACGGCTACTTCAAAACTTTTTTAATGCCAAATTGCTGCTGGTTGTATATTTTCTTGCTGTATTTTTAATGTCTCGGGACGTGGACTTGCTCCATCTTTGTGTGTTTGATGGTGGTGGCATGCCAGTATTACCTTGTACAGTTTTTCCTCTTGGCCCAGTCAAATGTCAGTGTCAATTGCCAGTAACTACAGGCTGTGTGCAGGCTCAAACATTCCCATACATTTCGTGTCGATAAGTCCTCAAAGTTTTGTATGATCCTGTTCTTCGTATGGCTGCAAAATATCTGAAAAGACACTTAGAAGATTGACCGTAGCTTTGTCAAAAATTGAGATAATTCAGCTCTGTTTTTTGCATCGTTTTCTGCATGAAACCAGCTTTCTTCTGATGTTTAGAGCTCGGTTTGAGTAAAAAAAGCCATTTGGTCCCTTTTCTCATCACAGGGCTCATATGCATGTACGCAGGGGTGGGAAGATCACCGTACATGCAATGTAGTGCTACTGTGCATGCGGCTGGTCATAGTCAGTAGGCTTAGGCTGTGTTTACATAAGAAATTTCAACCCGGGTCGAGTTCACCCCGGGTTGAAAGTCTGTACGATAGACAAAAGAGGTGAGCGTTTACATGAAGACAGTTGACCCGGGTCAAATACTGATATGCCGCCAAAAGTCCACTTCTACAGTCCTGTATGGTCACGTGAATCCGTTCGCGCGAAATTTGCATCTGCAGTGCTGTTCAAACCTGGCGCGAGATACGCACAGAAGTACGTTTGTACGATTTTCTTGACCCGGGTTGATTTCAACCAGGGCGAAATGCAATGCGTCATGTAAACGCGCCATTCATTTTGTGTACATGGCGGGTTGAAATCTGACCTGGGTCGAACTCAACCCGGGTTGAAACGCTTCATGTAAACACAGCCTTACTATGTGACTATGCAAAATGACCAACAACAGTTTTGAGCCTGCATCACTACGACACAACGCGAGTCAGATCAGAACTGCATTGAACAGACGTTATTACTACAGGCGATACACTCTGTACTAATCTGGCATGTTTCGCTACGCAAAGTCCATTCTTAGGACCGATATATTCTACTACTCAGTATGCGATGAAATTGCTTATAAGAATAAATGTGCACTTGAAACCCATGTTATGATTATGAAAACTTGAGAGTTCATTCGTGTAGGCAGTATATTCTTTTACACGACCACACTATAACCGATACGCACTGTACATGTACACCCGACATTGTGCATTAATGCATGTTGTATTTCTACTGAATTGCAGCACCTTGTTCATGTTGCCAGTTTGAGGTGCGATGTGCGTGGTAGGCACCCTCCCTCTGGGACTTCCTCGTCCTGGCAGACAACACCGTTACACGACATCACGGTATTTCCACCAAGTACGACACGTACCAATGTAATGAGGCATATTCATGACCAAAGCAAGGCACTGACTGCTATGGACTCTTGCATATGGCTGGCTGCAATTTTCAACGTGGATTATTTGCTTCTATAGTCCGTGACCAATCTAAACACATGGCAGCAGCTCAAGATCTCTATAGTCTGGAGTGGCACATCAAGGCAGTGTCAGTAGTTGCCAGCAGACCAGTCCAGTGTACATGTGCCAGTTACGGACTGTGCCCACTGCCTACTTGCTAGCACCCGGTCATATGGTTTAAACAAATCATGATTCTAGTGGTACGGCGTGTCCTGCATGCACGCCATTGCACGGTGGTCTCCTGGCAGACGCTGATGTGGTATGTGTTGGGCCTGGTTCAAACAGTTGCTTGCCGATACACCTTGCATGAGATGC